TTCAGCAAAGACATAAATGCAGTGAGGAGGTGGGACCTGGGCCAACCAGCAGTCTCACAAAAGTATAAAAATGTCTGCAAGAAATTTAAGTCTTTTAATTTATTTCAAAATTTAGTATAAAATATTGATAACATGATTTTCTTAGGTTATCTATCCATATTCTTAGACATCTGCTTAAAACATTCAAATTATCCACATTTTAAAACCCTTACATATAGGGAGGATTTAACTCATTAATGCTAAAGTCTAATCATAACTCTGAAAAAGTTATTTTGGAGGAAAAACTACTTAGAGCATATAGAAGTGTGTCAGGCCAGGTCTCAGTGACGCAGGCCTCCGTAACAACTGTTTCAGCACTGACTGAGTGGTTAAGTTAAATATTAAAACCCAGTGCCCTTATACAAAGGCTGGAATGTAACACAAGCCCATCAAGAGTGTTGCCTAGGCCTTTTTTGGGCCTTAAAGCATGACAAAATAATGAAGGAATTCTTAACAGGACCCATTGAGGACTAAAAAGTTTTGCTGTGAATCTAAAGAAACTCCCTAGGCCTCCATAAACAAGTTTATCGGGGATCTGAAGGAACTCCCCAAACCTCCATTATTTAGCAGGAGACAAGTTAGGGGTAATCACCCTAGCACCTGGACCCATTTCGATTGAGTAAATTTACTGAGGCTCCAGAGGAAACCTTTCAGGACTCAGACATTAGTTATAGATTAAAAGAAGTTAATCACTTATGTCTTTAGATGAATGCACACTTAGACGCAGACATATAGCTTACGTGGTATACAGCTTAAGGTATACAAGCTCTGGAAAACTTTGAAATTTTGAGTTGGTCTGGCGATAATTTCTGGGCCTTTTCCCTGTAACTGGTTGCAGAAATTAAAACTCTCTTCCTCCCCAGTTCATCTGCATCTCACTATTCGGCCATGAGAAATAGCATTCCGATGCTCAGTTTGGTCTCACAACAGAAGTAAATAGTAGCTATTTATAAAATATTAAAATATGTATAAAAACCTGAGTTTTAGTGAGGTAAGGGAGCATACTGTGTGGATACCTGAGGAGAGTATTCTATGGACCAGAAGCAGCAGTACAAAGGTGGGATGGTTTATTAGTCTGTCTTATACTTTTAATAAAGACATAACTGGACTGGGTCATTTATATAAAGGAAAGAGGTTTAACTGACTCACCGTTCAGCATCGCTGGGGAGGCCTCATTACAATCATGGCAAAAGGGGAAGAAAACATATCCTTCCTCACATGGCAGCAGGAAGGAGAAGTGCCTAGCAAAGTGGGAAAGGCCCCTAATTAAACCATCAGCTATCATGAGAACTCACAATCATGAGAACAGCATGAAGGTGACTGCCCGCATGATTAAATTACCTCCCACTGGATCCCTCCTACAACACATGGGATGAGATTTGGATGGGGACATAGCCAAACCATATCAGACGGTGAATGTGATTCCCAGGTGTGACTGTACCTGATGAACTCCACCAATGTTTGGGAGGCCTCTGAGGCTGGAATAGAGACAAACAGAACAGGTAGGTAAGAGGTGAGGTAAGAGAGTTGCGTCTGATGGAGCATGGCCTTGTAAGCCATTTAATGGTGTTGGTTTTATTTTGAATGAAATGGGGCCATGCAGAGTTTTGAGTGGAGAAACACATGATAGCCAGTTTGCACAGGACCACTCTGGCTGATGTCCTGAGATCAGCCACAGTAAATAAGTAGATAAGCAGAGAGACTAGCTGAAAGTCCATTATGGTAATGTAGGCCAGAGGTGATGTCAGCATAAATGAGGGCAATTGAGGGTGCTGAGAAGAGGTTGGACTCAAGATTTACTTTATAGTAAAAAGTAAGAGGATTTTCTGATGGAATGAGTAAGGGATGGGTGAAAGAAAAAGAGGAGTCAAGGATGGCTCCAAATTGTGAGTAGAGGTAACTGGAAGAATAGAGCCTCCATTAACTGAGATGAAAAGACATTGGGAGAAACATGTCTGTGGAAGGGATGAAATTTAAGTGAAGATGATTAATATGAGCTTGGAGGTCAGAGGGAAGGGCCAGGCTAGATATATAAACTTGAAAGTAATGAGCACATACATGGTATTTAAATTCATAGAATTTGAGTAGAATCCCCAAGGGAGTGGATAACAAAAAGAGATTCAAATTTGAGCCTTAGAGCCCTCATGTTAATAGGCCTTGGGATATAAGAAGAAATGAAAAGACGATAAAAGGGAGCAGCCAATGAAATAGAAAAATACTTGGAAACTGCAGAAGTGACATAAAGCGTACTGAAAGGCAGGAATTGATCCATTGTGTTCAATGCTGTTGTCGAGAGGTTAAGAAAATAAGGATTGAAAACTGACCATTAGATTCACAAAAGGAGCTCAGTCACCAGTGTCCACATCTTGTGGAGTGACGGAGTGAAAACTTGAAGGAAAAAAGTTGGTGAGTGAACAAGTCAGGAAGCAGCATCTATGAGCTCTTTTTAAAAAAAGACAGCCAGAAAGGAAGTGAGTTCGACAATTTTTTAACACAGCTTTATTGAGATATAATTTCCATTTCATAGCCTTGTTTTATATATCCATTTATTTATTTTGAGTTAGGAGAAATAAGATCATGCATGCATGCATTTATTCTGTTGAGAATAATCCAAAAGAGGAGGAAAACCTTGATGATATGGATAGAGATAAATGAATTGCTGGCATAACGTTCTTGGATGGAATCCAGTATATAAATGAACGAGTTAACCTTTGACAGTGGCACAGAGAGTTCATCTGGATAAATAAGAAGGTAGGTGGAGTTTGAGTAGAAAGCTGGTAGAGTTTTCTTTTGACAGCTTTTGTTTTCTCAGTAAAACTGGAAATAATGTTACTAACAGAAAGGGATGTTGGGAAAGAGGCATTGGATATTGGAGAGGAGAGAAGATATGAAATAGAAGAGTGTGACAGCAAATGGACTAAAAAAATAATTGCCTAGCTGTCTTAAGGGTCCCCCTGGGGTAATGAATTTAAGATAGACAAATTAGCATATTTTACCTAGTTGTGTTCATCTGCATAGTGTAGTTGGGAGCAGGAAAGAGTTTAATTTAAGCCATGGTTAGGGTTGTGCCAAGCGAGTGTGATAAAATGTTCCCTGATTCTCCTAAGCAAAAAGTAGTCTCACTTTCCTCAGAGTTTCCATAGCGTTTCTCTTCAATCTTGCTTATTGAAATGTTCTGTCTGGCATATATTCTTGTTGCTCAACAGCCCCTAATAACTTTGTATCATTCTAGTCTCCTATGTCTAAGCCTACTGTGAAGCATGTAGCAGAATAATTACATCATAATGATAATCTAAAAAATAGGTTTCCTGGGATCAAATCTTCTTCACAACGAAGTCATATATAATAATAATAATAAAAAGAACATCATCAATGGCAGTGTTACTGTAAGTCATATGTCTCAAAGTATAGTATAGCTCCCTCAAATATACTTTTTTCTATGTTGGAAAAAGTCCTTTCTGAACTATCTTTATGAATTTGTGAATCATTGAAAGAAACAGAGCTGGGCTTTGTAAAAATGACAAAATCAGTGAGTCAGTCTGTAGTCTCTTTAACCTTCATTTGTTAACCTCTTTCTCTGTTCTTGGAGTGAGTCCTCCTCTCCAGCACTAAAATGTCTATTGTTTACCGTCTCCAAATGCCTGACTCATAGAAAAAGCTCTGATACTTATACTGGTGTGAGATTTAATATTGCATAACCTTCAGTAAATGTGCCACCGTAACCAGGCAAATGCAATTAAAATGTTCAATCCGTTAAATTCCGTGCCCTTTCAAAATAATTTAAGACTCAACAAATAAACTAAACAGATTTGGCCAGCCAAGGAGCATGTGTAAAAGCATTCAATATGTATTGGTTGAGGCCCTCAGAAAAGATAGGAATTATTTATTTGTTTTTAATTAGTTGAGTAATGAGTGTATAAAGGGGAAGAAAAAGGATGTTGGTCCATTACCTTTTCCCCCTTCCTGGATTCTTCTGCTTTTCTGGGGAGAATAAACTAAGGACTGCTTTCACTTTAGCTGCTGAAGTCTTCTTGGTAGCAACTGGGAACAGGTGAGGAGCAAATGGCATCATCGAAGCTGTGGAGTTGGCCTTTCCTTTTTCTAAGTCCACCTGACTGGCACGAGAGATTCCTCCATTGTTAATCCTCTCTATCCTGCTCATGATAGATAAGACCAGAACTTAGCTCTGAGATTCGAACTTGAACTTCTCCTTTACCCAGAATATCTAGATACATATTAATGCATGGTATTTTCTATTTAAATTTGTTTTTGTCCTAAAACATTCTTCTTATGTTGTTTCCATTTTAATGTCTTTCTACTTATTTATACATCTTATTGTAAAATAAAAACTTTTATCATTAGTCTTACATATCCTTGTGAATAATGAAGCTATTACTGTACATTTATACATCTTAGTACATCTATACCTATACTTATGCAATAGTTCTATATTTTTTCTAAGAAAATGCCTAATAACATATTGGTAAGTAAAGAGTTCTTTGTTTCAAAGTAGGTTAATGTTTAAAATGCATTTTGTTGTTAAAGGAAAGACAATCACAATATTTGAGTTTCTTGAGGTATTAAGACTTCTGCAGTGATTAATAGGGGACAGTTAAATGTGTGTATCCTCAGCATATTTGGTTTTTAATCCTGGGGCTTTTAGTTCCTGGCTTTGCTGTTTGCACAGGGCGGCAAGAAGGCATGTTCTGGGTTTGGTATAAGCTGGATTTGGTCCAAATACAGGATGTCACAGGAGTAAGGCACTAAACTGACTGAAAATAGATTTCGTCTTTGACAGGCGATGACATTTACCTTTGCTCTCTCATCACCAAGTTTACCACACCTAGCCCATGATGACAGACAGTGGGATGAGTGGGTATAAAAACCAAAGTTACAGGGGCCCTTGTAGACCTGTCTCTCCAGAATGACTATCCTCCATTTCTAGGTCCCAAATCATAACCATGAAGTTGATCTTATGGTACGTGGCTGTGGCACTTTGCTTCTGCTGCAGAGGTAAGAAAGATTTAAAGAATTCTTTCCAATGTGATGGACACCGCGTCTATATTTGTTTCATTGTTTAGTGTTCTTTACCTCAAACATTTTTCTTCCTAGCAGTCTTTCTTACACTACACTTTAGAGTAGGATAAGAAAACTGGATTTTTCATCTTAGTATTACTTCAGCTTTAACAATCCTGTCTTAAGGATGTGGATACAGGCATACCTTGGGGGATATCTTTGGGTTTGCTACAACCATAAAGTGAATATTACAATAAAGCAGGTCACACACAGCTTTTGCTTCCCAAAATGTGTAAAGGTTATGTTTACCCTATACCATAGACTAAGGGCACAATAGCGTTATGAATAAAAAACATCCATACTTCAATTAAAAATACTTTATTGCTAAAAAGTCCTATGATCATTTGAGTCTTCAGGAAGTTGTAATCTTTTTGCCGGTGGAGGGTCTTGCCTTGATGTAGACTGCTGCTGAGTACCCAATGTGGTGGCTGCTGAAGGTGGGGGTGGCTGTTGCAATTTTTTAAAATAAGAAAGCTATGACATTTGCTGCATTGATAGACTCTTCACTTCATGAAAGATTTCTCTGTAGCATGCAATGCTGCTTGATAACATTTTACACACAGTAGAACGTCTTTCAAAGTTGGAGTCAGTTTTTTAAAACCCTGCTACTGCTTTAGCAGCTAACTTTATCTAATATTCTAAATCCTTTGTTGTCATTTCAACAGTGTTCACAGCATCTTCATCAGAAGTAGATTTCAATTAAAGAAGCCACTTTCTTTGCTCATTCATAGGAGCAATTTGTCATCTGTTTGAGTTTTCTCATGAGATTGCAATTCAGTCTCCTCCACTTCTAATTCTAGTTCTCTTGCTCTTTCTACCACATCCACAGTTACTTCTCCTGAAGTCTTGAACCTTTAAAAGTCATCCATGAGGGTTGGAATCAGCTTCTTCCAAACTATTTTAATCTTGATATTTTGGCTTTCTCTCATGAATTATGAATGTGCATCTAGAAAAGTGAATCCTTTCCAGAAGATTTTAAATTTACTTTGACTATATTCATCAGAGGAATCAAATCATTATTTATGGCAGTTATAACCTCATGAAATGTATTTCTTCAATAAGAAGATGTGAAAGTCAAAATTACTCCTTTATCTCTGGGCTGCGAATGGATGCTTTGTTAGCAACATGAAAACAACATATTTTCCATGTATCTCTCCATCAGAACTCTTGAAATCTTGTCAAGGAAAAGTAATATGTTGAAAGGAATTTTTTATACTGAGCAGTAACTTTAAGCAATAGGCATAAAATATTCAATAAACCCTGCTGTAAGCAGATATGCTGTCATCTAGGCTGTGTTATTCCACATATACAGCATTGGAATAGTAGATTTAGTATAATTCTTAAAGGACCTAGGACTTTCAGGATGGTCAATGACCAGCGGTTTTAACTTTAAGTAAGAACCTGCATTAGATCCTAAAAAGAGAATCAGCCTGTCCTTCAAAGCTTGGAAACCAGGCATTGACTTCTCTCTAGCTATGAAAGTCCTAGATGGCAACTTCTTCCAGTCGAAAGCTGTTTTGTTTACAATGAAAATCTGTTGTTTAGTGCAGCCACCTTCATGAATTATCTTAGCTAGATCTTCACCTCTGAACTTACAGCAGCTTCTCCTGTCAGCCCTTGTTCTTTACTTTGCACTTTCATGTTGTGGAGACAGCTTGTTTCCTTAAATTTCATGAGCCAACCTCCGCCAACTTTAAACTTCTCTTCTGTGGCTCCCTCACCTCCCTCCACCTTCAGAGAACTGGAGAGAGTTAAAGCCTTTTTCTGTATTAGAGTTTGGCTTAAGGGAATGTTGTGGCTGGCTTAATCTTTCCAGGCCACTCAAACTTTCTCCATAACAGAAATAAGGCTGTTTTGCTTTTTTATCATTCATGTGTTTGCTGGAGTAGCACTTTTAATTTCCTTTAAGAACTTTCCTTTTGCATTCACAAGTTGGCTAAGTGTTCAGCACAAGTGACTTAGCTTTCAGCCTGTCTTGGCTTTCCACATGCCTTTCTCAGTAAGCTAACTTTTGATATTAAATGCAAGATCTAATGATATTAAATGCAAGATCTAATGATATTAAATGCAAGATCTAGTGATATTAAATGCAAGATTATTTTTCACTTTTGATACTGAATGCAAGATCTGCCACTCTTCTTTTCACTTGAACATTTAGAGGCCATTGTGGCATTATCAATAGGCCTAATTTCAATAGTGTTGTGTCTCAGGGAAAAGGGGGGCCCGAAAAGAGGGAGAGAGATGGAACCAATGACCTGTTGGTAGAGTGGTCAGAACATAAGCATATATTAAGTTTTCCGTCTTATTGAGCATGGTTTGTGATGCCCCAAAACAGTTATAATAGCAATATCAAGAATGACTGATCAAAGATTGCTATAACAGGTATAAGAACAATTAATTTGAAATATTGTGAGAATTATGAAAACATAATTCAAAGACCTGAAGTGAGCACATGCCGTTGGAGAAATGGTGTCAAGAGAGTTGCGAGTCACAGGGTTGCCACAAATCTTCAATTTGTAAAACACACAATATATGTAAACCTCAGTAAAGTAAAGCACAATAAAATGAGGCATGCTTTTAAACACGTTATGTATACACATTATGTATACACATTTAGATATATTTGTTTTTAGCAACTGCCTCGAAATATTACTAAGCAGGTCACACAAGATACATATAGGGTTGTTTGTTACTCATTTTCATGTTATTCAGTTTATACTTTGATGGTTCTATCTAGAATGCACATCCATATTAAGACTAAAGGTACAGACTGGTAATCATGTTTTACACAATCAATAAATTATTACCAATTAAAAATCTGGATAATCATCAAAAGCAACATATCTTAAACTAACAACCTACCTGGATATTTTAGAAAGTTCATTAATTAATTTCAGAAATTAATTTAAAGGCAAGATGTCACTGATTTTGAGAAAATTAAACAGTAAGCAAAATGAAAATGTCCCTAGAAACAAAGGTTGTTCTGTTTCTGAAAAGGGCAGAAAATAAAACATTATCCAAACATAAGGGGAAAAAGTCTGCAAAAAGCAGGAGATTTTATTTTAATATCTAAACTTAAGATCTATTCTTTAAATTTGAGAGTAGAACACAAAACACACGTTACTTTTCCTGAGATGCCAGAATATAGAGGACTGCTATTATTTGTTATGGTTAAGAGAAAATATTTCTACGTTTAATTCAACTATCTGGGAGAGTATCTGATGAACCATTAGAAGAGGATTACTTTGTGTAATGGTGATTTTCATAATCTTACATAGTGCTTTGCTATATTCTTTTTTCCTATTGTATAAATTTGTTTCTTGTTTCTTAAGAAATGGAGCACAGAGCACATTATTTTCAAAGCATTTATTAAATGATGTCGTATCACCATAAAAATAATTTTAAAGGTATTTGTTAAAGCATATTAAATTTGTTGAAGAATTGACTCATGTTTCTAAAGTAAATTCCTATATATCCATCCATTGTAGTTCTGGAAAATGATTATTTCAATAGACTTTCCATAGATAGCTGATTAATAAACAAGATTCAAAGATTTTATGTATTTATTCATGATGTCATAGAACTAAGAAACATACTTGGAAAAAATTATAGTTGCCTTATTTAAAATGAATTTTTGTTGCTCTTAGTCAATGAGATTTATGTTTCAAATATGGACTCCCTTCATTTTCAGTAGGTTACAGCATAACATCTTGGGGCCTGGAAATTGCTAAAGGCAAATATTTAGGCAGTATCATATAATCAATTGAAAGAAACGTTTGCATTCTTTAACCAAGCATAACTATACAGAAAGAAAAAAATATTGAAAAACAATTTTCTGGTTAAGTAGAAGAAAAGCAGATATAAGAGACATAGTTAAGGCATAAAAGAAATATGCATAATCTAGTTTTTTCCCCTCAGGCTATTCTATATTCTCATTAACGTCCAAATAATTGATTCTGTTCTTTTATTCTTATATCTTTTTTGTCTAATTCACTGCTTATGAACACATTATGCAGAATATGTTTAGGGGAAATAAAAGCATATGAAATTTAGATCAGAAAACATACTTTAGATCAACAGTTGAAGTTGTTCGAAAAACATATAAAATACTGACTAATATTAATTTGTGAGCTTAATTTATTTGGTCATGCATATTTTCAAGTCTGAGTTAGCATTGAGAATTTTGATATCAAGTTTGCTGGTAGGTAAATGTGTTACATACATTATTTCCTATTAAATACAAAAGCTGCGAAATAAGTGACTGTTGAAGTATTACAGTTATCAGATATAAAAAATGGATTGCTTATATTGAATTTTAAGGAAGAATAAAAACAAAAAGAATGTCTTTTTCATTGTCTTAAATATGTTTTAGGGAATTATAAAATAACTTTTGTTTTGTTTTGTTTTTAAAATAGATGTGGAAACCCTATTTTACCGACAGAAATCAGGTCAGTATCTTTCAGGAATTAATCTTTACTTTGAAACATTATGCTGCATTGTGAGGCTGCTTTTGAATCAAAAAATAAATGTGCTTCCTACACACTTGGTTTTGTGAATGAGCTCCCATGGCTCCTCATTTACCCCATATGATTCTGAATTCCTTGAGGACAAGATTTTGGTGTATGCTATTCACCCGATAGTGAATGCTAAGAGCAGTGGCTGCTATGGAGTGGGCACTCACTGCATCTTTGTTTTAAATTAATAAAATAAATTGATATTATTAATATAAGATTTATTTGCCTACGAACATTTTCTACATGAAAGTAACCAAATGCTTTGCAAGGTAAACTTTCTGAAATAAACCAAGAATACCCTAACTTCTTACCAAAGAACACAAAGGACTTCTGGATATAGCTTAATCCTTTTTAGAGGACATGAAAATGCATGTCTATTATCATATTATATTCTATATAATGATGCCCTTGTTATCTACTGACTTGTGTAAGCCAGTTTGTCTCTATTCCAGAGATGGTTTCTGAGTTTCTGTGTCTGCTTTTGATTTGCCTTTCTGTCCCCTCTCTTTTGTTCAACAACTAGCTCTATATTCTCACAGGATCATCATGTCTGCTTCCAGCAGCCAGTTGCAATTCTTACTTACTGTTTTCAGTCCACTGGGCTGAGAACACCATTGATCCAAGCTCATTAAGCCTTGTACCTGTGGTAAGGTTGTTCACTCTGAGTGAGGTCCCAAGAGATTTCTCCTGATAGGGACAGTGAATAAGCAAGAATTCATACGTGCCCTTGATAATACCTCTATTTGCTGCAAGAGGATTTGGGGACAACTTCTTGACTGCAATCTGCACTGCAGATAGTTAGAATTTTCCAGGTGTTTAACCTACAGAGGATATTACTGTGCAGTTTTCTTTTGAAACATTGATATTAAGTGTCTCCAAACCCCATCTGTAAGGCATTTCTTCTTAGTCTTTGGCTAAATATGTGTGTGTGCATTTGTTTGTGCAACTACGTAAGATTTGGGTTTGACAACAATTTATGAGAACATATGTGAAATGCTTTATCTTTTAAATGTACTATTTACTGTTTGTCTTAATTTACCCCTTCATCTCTGGGATAGGTTTACTGATCATAAGTCTTGGATTTTCCTGAATTGGATTTTAGTTCCAATTTCTAAAAGTTTATCCTAGCATCAGACCATGTGCCTTGACTCTTTATTTGAATAATGTGGTCAGTTTGGGTTTAGAAAATTTTAAAATGATAGAGCATAGAGAAGCATTAAAAACAAACCGCATGGCTCAAGCCTGTAATCCCAGCACTTTGGGAGGCCGAGGCGGGTGGATCATGAGGTCGAGAGATCGAGACCATCCTGGTCAACATGGTGAAACCCTGTCTCTACTAAAAATACTAAAAATTAGCTGGGCATAGTGGCGCGTGCCTGTAATCCCAGCTACTCAGGAGGCTGAGGCTGGAGAATTGCCTGAACCCAGGAGGCGGAGGTTGCGGTGAGCCGAGATCGCACCATTGCACTCCAGCCTGGGTAACAAGAGCGAAACTCCGTCTCAAAAAAAAAAAAAAAAAAAAAAAACAACAAAAAAAACCGCAATTCTGGAAGTCTCCAAATAAAAATGTCACCAAAAACATCTTTGAGGTTTTTTTAATATGTAATCAACATGCAACTTTATGCAACATTTGTTGCCATTGTTAAGTATTTTATTTCACATAATTATTGAGAAAATTCTTTTGGAAAGCAATGACTTGATTTAATAAAAATATTTTTATATTTGCAAATCTTAAGTGCATTTGTATGTGAATTATAATTTTTGTTGCAAACTACCAATTCTTATTGTGAGTTTTTGACTCAGCTATACTTATAGCTTGACAAGGCTGCAATTTACATGCCGTTTTTTTAAGTATGGAGAAAATTTACCTTGATTTACAATAATGACAAATAATTTGTAAGTTGTCTATACATAAATTTTAATATTCAGCTGTAAGCTAGAAACTCTAGCCATTTGTTTCAGATTCATTGTAGTTTATTTAGTATTTTTGTCACATGAAAATATCTTAACTAAATCTTCTGTATTTTACTGAAAGAATAATAATTAGCGTTTTGAAGCACCTCTTCAGGCATCTAAGAATTATTGAGTTTTGCCACATTCTAATTTATGCATTTGGACTGGGCATGAGAGTGACTGGAAGGTTAGCCCAGACTTTCTCCTTTATGGGGATATTGAGGAGAGGTAGAAATGCGCCAATGGCTAATTACCATATTCATACCTGAGTATTTAATTCAAAGAGTGTATCTCTTTGGGAGTACCTCCCAACGACAGGAAATGGCTCTAATGAAGATTCACTTTCTACTACTAATGACAGCAATTCTCCTTTTATTTCTTCAGATGGTAAAGTAGCTGCAAGCAGATCAGGTAAATTACTTTGTTCTCATTTCTTATATTTTTTATTCTCAAAAAGCAATAGAGTGGTAGTGCTTTGCTTTGGACACATGGCGTATCTCCCCTGGAAAAATCCTTCAAAAGCTTAAAATATAATCTCCCTTATTAGTACAGACATGCTTTAATGTGTTTTTGTATAATCTGGGCCAGACATTTTAATCTTTGATCAATACTTATACAGGTGGTGAAATTTAAAATGGAAAATTGCTCCGGTTATTTGCTTTTCTAGAATGTCTTAAACCTGTGATAGAAATATGTACATGGATTTAAGGCTTTACTTTCCTTATTTTCATCAGCAGGGCATGCTGTCATTTTTTTCTTCCAAGATTAATTCCTTAGTGATCTGCTTTAAAAGCAACCTAGTTTCAGCAGGTTTGCTAGATCCTGTCAGCTGATTGAATATCACCATTCTCCTTTTCTGTTTGTTTCTCTACCCACCGAAATGAAAAATGAGTCATAGCAAATCAACAAGACTGCTTTTATGAAGTTTTTCTGAAATCCAACATTATGAAGATTATTATTGCTAATATCAACTGAGATTCAATTACATTCTGGTCTACTGTACACAGCAATCAAAATAGTCCAATATATTTTCCCGTGCTTTTCTTATAGGACATTTTACATCCCTACCTTATTCTAGAACATAAATGAAATGTAATTTTAAAATGTTTTCACATAAAGTGAGATTAGGCAGCAGCTCAGTTGTGTCAGAAAGACAGCAAGATTATTTTTTCACAACTATGGATGGGACTCATTAAGTTCCATCACAGTGATATAGTAAAAGTTTGTCTACAAAATCTGCTTGTTACTTTTATCGATGGGGCCATAAGAGTCTTCAGCATTCCTTTAGTAGCCCCCATTAAAAAATGAGCAGAAAGTAAGGGTACGCTTGGGATTCTATAGTTCTCTGAAAGTTCTTTAAAATTCTGAGGAATTGAATTTACTCTTATGTGTGTCAGGGAACTTTCCAGGTCTGGTTATTATTCAGGAGGGACATGGTGTTCTCCAAGGATAGAGTTGCATTAAGTGAATAAAAATGTCAAGCAAGGAAGTCCCCATTAAACCCTCAACCAGCCGATATAAAACTGGACAAACCACAGGGCATAGTATTGCCCTCAAACTCTTCATTCTTCCATGAATTCGAGACTCATACGTTTGAGGAAAAGATTATAGGCCACTACAGGACTTTGTGTTTTTTTGATATCCACTGAATTTTACTGATGTCAGATAACATAATTCATTTGTTCCCATTACTTTAAAATTTTTCCTATCCACACAACTGAATCATGTTCACTTCTCTTATCCAGCCATTTCTCTCTATGAGGTAGAGGTGAAGAAGCAGAATTATGTCTATTTTACTTTTCTACTCCATTCTCTGGTTTAAAGTATAAGCTAACCGTTCCAAAATGTTGTGCGAAATGTAATATAAACATTTTATTTATCCTTAAGTTATGAAGTAGATAAACATTTTATTTATCTTTGTGCAGTGTATACGTAATCTGTCTTTAAGCAAGATGAAGACAGTGTACATTACACTTAAAAGCAAAAGATTTCTTGGCAGATTTTTTTAACCATGCAATCTTGGACAAATTATTCAGTCGCTTTGAAATATCTATTTTCTCATTTACAAATGAAGAAGATTAATAGCACCTACTCATAGAATTGAGGCTACTTAAGCAATGGGGCATATAAAGTACTGTTATGCAGATGTTGTACATTTGAAAAACATACTGACCATTACTCCTAGTAACTTCAGCAGTAAATATTTCTGAGCAAGTTTCATATAATAAAAACAAAAGAGATAAAATAAAGTTAATAAAGTTAGTGAAGACAAATGTAGCACATTGAATGTGCAGGATGCCAGGTCTACTCATTTCAACATCAGAATGAAGAAATATTGCTCTAATAAAATGAAGGACCTAATATGTCTCTGGAGTTGAACTCAGGAGAGGTATGATGAGTATGACAAACACAGCATGAATTAAATACGTAAAATATAATGAACCTTAATGAGTTTGATGCAGTAAATTTGCTGAGGCAAGTCAAATGTATTAAAGGACAAGGTTTATCCCAGTTGAATGTTGGCTGTGTGTAAGACACTGGACTAGGTGCATTCATTCCATTTAATACTCTCATTTAATTAATACTTCTATTATGAAGTAGATACTCTCTTATCCTTGTTTATGATGTATTCCCCATTTAGTAGATAAGAAAATTTTGTTTTAGAAATGGTAAATTGTTTATTCAAGGAAAGGCCAAGAACACAGAACACAGCCACGAGCAAAAGTACTATTGCAAGTGTATAAATAATTAAAAATTTAGGTCGGGCATGGTGGCTCACACCTGTAATCCCAGCACTTTGGGAGGCCGAGTTGGGTGGATAATCAAAGGTCAGGAGTTTGAGACCAGCCTGGCCAACATGGTGAAACCCTGTCTCTACTAAAAATATAAAGATTAGCCGGGTGTGATGATGGACGCCTGTAATCCCAGCTACTCAGGAGGCTGAGGCATGAGAATCGCTCAAACCTGGGAGGTGGAGGTTACAGTGAGCCAAGATCATGCCACTGCACTCCAGCCTGGGCAACAGAGGGAGACATCATCTCAAAAAAAGAAAAATCACGAATAAAAGGAACAAAGTAGCACATAAACTGTGTTTCTTTCTCCTACTTCGACAAAAATACATTCATGACAGGCTGGAATGTGGTTTCCTATGCAGAAATTTAGATTTATTGGAAGCCAGTGAAAGAACAGGGTTGGCAGTGCCATAGCCAAGAAGTAGCCCGGGCCTTCCATATCTGGCTTAGTCACACTGGGAGAGATGGCCCAGCTTTCCTCTATCAGTCCACTTCTTTCTGCAAACTGACCACCCTCTGTTCATTCCTCACACCTTAGGGCTTCAATCTATGCCATGTGATCTCACCTGGGGAAGAAGGTCTTGGGAAAGATGCCCATGCAGGTCCAAGTATCAGGCTTGGAGCTGCAGCCCTGGAGTTATTGTCCAGAAAAGGGGAGGGAGGGGCATGCACAGGCTCCAAGAAGGCAAAGACTCTTCACCATTGGCCTGTATTCCGTGTTCTCTGAGGAACGCCATGGCCCAGGAAGGCCAGCATGAAACCTGAGCATGTCAGAGCAGTAAACTCTGTTGCCTGGGTCTAGGAGAGGCAGGGGCAGAGATTAATTAAATGAGAGTAGGAAGTGAGATGATTGCAAGAGTGGGAGTCCAGATGGGTTAGCTGAAAAGTGCGTACTTTTCACACTATTGAATGCTTCTTTTCTTCCTTCTGCTTTGTCACCAAACTAAGATATTTATGTATTAAAATACAGTTCTGAAACTACATGGCATCAAAGAAAGACAATGAGAGAGAGGGTAAAGGAGGAAAGGAGGAAGAGTATGTGGAAAACACGGGTTGACAGAGGGAAAGAGGAGACGAGAGGAAATGCTGTATGTGGAGAAAGGCAGTATAGTCATTGAAGGGTTACCTAATAGAATAATAATATAATCGACTATACATGAGTTAAGCAGGTGTATTCCTACTAAACCAAACACCTATGTGTAAATATTATGATTTCATAATCTCTTAAATGTTGGGTGCCTCTCTCTCAAACTATGTAGTAGACTATTGATTATTCTGAAAAATCACATGGACATTTTAGTTTTGCGTATTATTTGCTTTAGAAAAACAGAATTACATTTGCTAGAAACATGAGAAATGACGAAAAATCCTAAGATTCTTTGTTGTGGTTGGAGAAATATAATGAAAAACAAAATCTTCTGCCACCTCAGAAAGCCTCTTTAGGAAAGTAGAAAAGGGGGGAAAAAGTTTTATTATGGAATAAACAGGAAAGCAGAATGTGATGCACGTAACAGCCTAAGGAGATTGCCCAAACAGAAAGGCAGAGCCAAGCAGCCGTCTTCCGTCACACACGTGTCCTCAAGATTAACAACTAGTTCTCACCTGAACTTCTTAGCACCATTAGCCATATAGTTCAGCCTAAATTTATGTGGTAGTTGGGGTAGCCACCTATGTCTGCTGATTGTCTTAAAAAAGAAAGAAAATTTCTTATCTATTATGACTGCAGGTAGGTTTGCAATTGTAACCAGGCACCAGCTGAAGTCAGGCTTTTACTTCCCAGGAACCTAGGAGCTGGGAAAGTTATCTTCCTCTATGATGACATATCAAAGTGATGGTACCAGCCCCTTGCGAAAACATTCTTGGGGTGATTATCTAGTCTTTAAAAATATTTATGTACATTTCAGAGACATAGAGAAAGAAATCACAAGTTTTCTAAAGTAAATAATCTAAGCAAAAGTGTGTAGGGAGAAGTCTCTTCTCTTATTTGGAATATGGAGAATTAAACCACTTATTTTTATTTGCATTTGCTCTTACATATTCAAGTTTTATGTACAAATTATGTGCTTCATTCTCTTGTCTATTCACTGATCAAAATTTATGTCTTTCACAACTTTACAAGAATATCATCATTATTATGACATTAATTCTAAAGTATTTCAATTTTATTATAGAGATTAAAAAAAATAAATGGCATGACAGGAAGCACATATACATCATGTAAGACACTGTTTCTTCCCTTAAAAGTTGTCTTTGTTGGTGAATGTATTTACTAAATACATATGAATTGAGTGTCCTTTATGGTTCAGGCACTGCTCTCCTCACCTGGGATACTTCAGTGAATTAAACAAGCAAAGAAACATTGTGTTTATGCAGCTTAAAACCTAGAAAAAGGATACAGTCAATAAACAAAAAACATTATAAGCAGTAAGCCTATTATATTACAAGGTGATAAAATCTGTGTCATAAAATAGAGTAATATTAAATATGATGGTAATTGGGAGTATAATGGTGGGGGTGAAGTTGCAGTTTCAGCTTGTCAGAGTGTGCCTCATTGAGATGAAATTTAAGCTGACACTTGAAGGAGGCTAATTCTACAATTAATGTATGAGTATATGGCTACATCTTTGCAAGAATATAGAAAAGAGAGTCAGATACGTTATCTTAATTTTGTCAGTTACAAGGAACAGTAGCCAAGGACAGTGTGGATTCAACATAGCAGAATATTTTGCTGTGTTCACTTGCCTTGCTATCTATAAGAGAATATCTGAGGCTGGGTAATTTATGAAGAGAATGGGTTATCCAACTCCTGCATTTGAAGGCTAAGAAGCATGGCACCAGCCTTTACTTCTGGCGAGGGCCTCTTGCTGCTTCCACTCATGGCAACGGCCAAGAGCAGCTAGCTTGTGCAGAGATCACACCGTGAGAGAGGAAGAAAGAGAGAGAGGGACGACAGGGAATGACAGCTCTGTGGGAACTAACAGAGCGAGATTGCACTCATTACCAGGGGGACAATACCAAGCTGTTCTCGAGGGTTTTGCGGACATGACCCAAGCACTTCCCAACAGGCCCTACCTCCATCACAGTGATCAAATCTCAACATGGGTTGTGGGGAGACAAATACCTAAACAATAGCAATGGAGAGAGGTGGGATGCTGTTAAGTTGGGGCTTAGGAATGGGGGAAGAAGCAAATTGAGGAGTTTCTGCTCTGTCTGGGAAGACAAGAGCCTCTAGTACACATCAATTATTGAATTTCTACAGCTCAATTCTCCTCTTTTTCTTGAGGTCTTAGAGCCATGACAAAAAGACATCGATAAGGTGTTTAAGTCAAGCAGTGGTATAAGTTGTTTAAGTGCTGTGAGAATAATAGGACTTACATAAAATAAAACGTGGCTTTTCATAGTGGCATAATCAGACCACTTTTACAGTCTGTGCCAACTGCTGTTTTCAAATAAAATCTTCTGTAATTTCCGTAGATGGCTTCTTTTAGGGTAGTTCAACCTTCTGGTGACTCAGATAGAAAAAAAGCCATTCCTTAGCTTGGAATTTGATGCTCCAGGAGAGGCTGAAGACAAGTCCAGAGGATGCACATGGTCCCAAGGACGTGGCGGCTGTGAGCGTGGCCTAGAGTGCACACGTGGTCCCAACCACATAGCAATCACAGGAGCAAACTTTCTTCTTCAGCAGGAGGCAGGCACAAAGGCACTCAAATGGGCAGGGCAGCTGCAGCGGGCCTAGCCTACTTCTTTAAACGGTGTGCTCTCATTGCCCCTCCCTAGAAGCTTACCCTTCTAGGGAAGTTTTATAAATTGGCCTGCAAATTCGACCTTTGCTGAAAATATTGGTACCCATCTCCTAAGCCTCACGAGCCTCGTCAAAGCACATTGGTAGAACCACTCATCCCAACAGCTTCCTTTCGTTCCATGCCCCTGTGGTAGTCACTGAATGGTATTAAGAGGCTGTGGGCTTAAGCCCATAACGCTGGTAGGTCGTAATTAAAATCCAGTTCATGGCGAGCCATCTAATAAAATAGATGACGCATCTTGAGCCCACAAAATTTCAGGGTACTGACTGAAAAACATTTCATTTCAGTACCCATTTTACCTGGGGACTTCCTCAGGTCAAAGTGGCTGTAATTTTTTTAACTGAGGATGCAGGCATGCCTTGTGTTCTATTTCAAATAGGTGCTTCTATTCCTAGGCTCAAATCCCCATTAAAATGTATACTAAAAAAATTGAGACCAGTTTAACACACAAGTCTTTAAATAAAGCGGCTCATCATTCTCTGCTGAACAGAGTAGCCAAAATGCCCCCTGCTGAGTGGAAAAACCTGGCCTCCCAAGGGAAGTATAAATTATAACACCATTCTACAATTAAACCTGCATTGTAAAAGTAAAAGTAAGTAGTGTAAGGTCCCCTATGTGCAACTATTCTTTTCCCTAAGGAATTAGCCTCAGCTCTGTCAGGCTCGTGCCCCTTCCACTGTTCAGCCCTCCTCAGGACTACCTCCACCTGTGGATCTCCCTGTGGCAACTACCTCTACCAATGCCAACCAGGGCTCCTCAGCTCCCGTACCCCAACAGGAGACAGGGAGGGCCAAGGCAGCCGGGGCATCTCAGGCTACCCGGATGCCCAAACTCTGCCCTCTAAAGGCAGTGAGAGGAGAATTTGGCCCAAGAAAGGTGAATACCCCCTTCTCACTTTCTAACTTAAAACAAATTAAAGCAGACTTAGGAAAGTTTTCAAATAACCCCAACAAGTACATAAACGTTCTTCAGGGCCTAAGTCAGTCCTTCAAGTTAAACTGGAGGAATGTCATGCTCTTGCTTAATCAAACCCTAGCCAGTAATGAAAAAAAGGCTGCTCCAGCAGTCGCTCAAAAGTTTAGGGACACTTGGTACCTTAGTCAGGTACATAACCTAATAACACCAGAGGATAAGAACAAATATCCCACAGGTACACAGGCAGTCCCATTCCAGGACCCTTGCTGGAATCCAGATTCAAAACAAGGGGACTAGAGCTGTAAGCATTTCCTTACTTGTATACTTAGGGGATTAAAGCAAACTAGGAAAAAGCCAATAAACTATGCAATGTTATCCACCATAACTCAAGGAAAGGAAAAAAACCCAACAGCTTTCCTTGAGCGATTGCAAAAAGCTTTCAAAAAGTACACTCCTCTGTCCTCACACTCCATTAAGGGTCAGTTAATACTAAAAAACAAGTTTATTAATCAGCAGCAAATATCAAGAGAAAGCGTCAGAAGCTAGCTTTAAGACCAGAACAGAGTCTAGAATCACTGCTAAACCAGGTCACCTCAGTGTTTTATAATAAAAACCAAAAGGAACAGGCTTAAAAAAAAAAAGAGGAAAAATCAGAGAAAGGCTGCTGCCTTAGTTATAGACTTCAGGCAAGCAAACCCCAGGGGCTCAGATAAGGGAAAGGCTCAGTTTAGCCACCAGTCTGGCAAAGCTTGTTACCAGTGTGGTCTAAAGGGACATGTTATAAAAAACTGTCCCCAGAGGAAGAAACCACCACCTCATCCATGCCCACTGTGCCAAAGAAATCACTAAAAAGCACACAGTCCCTGGGCCAAGGTCCCCTGGGACTAAGGTGTCTAACCAAATCACCCAATGGCAAAACTGAGGATGCCTAAAACAGGTGCCAGCATAAGCCATCACCCTCACAAAGCCCCAGGTAAAGCTAGCCATAAAGGTCCTAAAAGCCAAACTTCTCCTAGGCGCTAGCACAGGCTTCTCGGTATTTCTCTCCTGCCCTAAAAACTTGGTGCTAGTATTAAAAAAGTTACTACCTCTATTCAGTTACTATAAGCGATCTCAAAAGTTAATTAGTAACAAAGACAGGTTGCTAATTCTCTCTACAAAGGGCACCTCTCTCTGCAAACCAGCTTAACCCTTTAGCTGCTGTAGCTTTAAAAATAGAAGAGCCCTAAATTTGCTAACAACAGAAAGAAGAAAAACCTGTTTCTAGGAAAAATGCTGCTATTTTGTAAACCAGTTTAGTCTTATTTTAAATATAAAACTCAGAGATCAATCAAAAACAGGGCTAGAAACCTTTAAAAAACTAGCTCTGCTCTCTCCTTGGCTCATTTATAACTCTAAGCCTCTCATCTTTAACCACCTGGTCTTATTCATTTCTTATAAAACCATAAGGTCACAGTTAATCCTGCTGCCAGAACCCTGAATGTCCTTAGCTCGTAAGCTTTATCGTAAGCCTGTAAATCAACCTGCACCCCTAAAAGGCTCCCCTCTGGAAGAAACCTCAACTGCAGGGCCCCTTCTATGCCCCATTTCAGCAGGAAGTAATTAAAGAAGATCAACGCCCAAATTCCAACTGAAGTTAAATTTTCCTGTTCAGAAAGGGGAATGAGGGAAGGTGGTCTCTTTCTGGGTCCATGAAGGGGCATAGCTTTAAGGGCAAGAATCTCCCAGCTCCATGCCCCAACTCCCATCTCTCTCTATCCTGGAGATTCAGTGGTTTATATTTGAATTTCACGGGCAGGAGAAGAAACTAAAAGTCAATCACTCCAGCGGAAGTTCTAAGGAACTCCTTTCATTGGCCCAGGGTCTTAGAGAGGGTGGGCGTTTCTCCCAGGATAAAAGTTAGTGCTTCGTCACCTGTGCCGGATTTTCCAGCTTTCTTGAATCCTCTTCCACACGGTGGGAGCTTCCTCTGGGATCCCTTCCACAGTCTTCTTGGAAGCCTTTCTTCTCTTCTCCTTTCCTTCTATTTTCTCTACCTCAATAAAATCACCTTTCTGCAACACTTTTTTGGGTCCGATATTCACTTTACGAGCATATGGTCCACCTGCAGTGGCCCGACCGCTTATTCCTTAAGAGGCTGGAGGCCAAAATCCCACAACAATCTCCAGCATGGGAGAAAAACCTGGTTACAAGATGGCCTTTACAGTTTCTGCTGGCAGTGCTGTTTTCAAATACAATCTTTCGTTATTTGCTGTGTAGGTGGCTTCTCTTATGGGAGTTCGTCCTCTGGTGCCTCAGACAGAAAAAAGCCACTCTTTAGCTTAGAATTTGGTTCTTCAGGAGAGGCTGAAGACAAGTCCAGACAACGTCGAGATACTGCAAGTTCAAAGTCAGAAGACACCCTGGCAGGTACTGTTATTGTTACAGAAAATACACTTAACCTAGCAAGTGTTTTTGTTTTTGTATTTGTATTTGTTTTAAATAAGATGATACCGTTTGTTTTATTGAAGACATAGCCTTAATAGAAATGTGAAGACCGTTTAGGCACTCATGCTAGTGCCAATGAGAGTGCTAAATTTTTTCTTTAGAGAATTGTGGCAAAGCGGTTTACATTAATTATTGTCCTGGTAATATTTATTTTTATGTTATCTTTATATGTAGTATATTTATTGTTATTATAATATATTTCGGTGTATAAATCAGTAATTTAAAGTGTGTCCTGAACCCAAATATAGTGTAGAATCTCTTCATTCACATTTCTGTCATCTGCCACCATTCATTTTCTACATTAGGATTCTCTCTTTACATTACAATAAACAGTACTATAAAACTAAACAGTATTATAAAGCACAGTTTCTAAAAAGTTCATGGCCTACAATTTTTTGGGGGATGAAAAAATTTAAATGTCTTTAGGTGTGGTATTTCATCTCTTGTTGTATATGCCTGTTCTCATGCTGCTGTGAAGAAATACCCGAAACTGGGTAATTTATTAAAAAAAAAAAGAGGCTTAATTGACTCACAGTTCTGCATGGCTGAGGAGGCCTCAGGAAAGTTATAGCAGAAGAGACAAACACATTCTTCTTCACATGACAGTGGGAGAGAGAAGAATGAGAGCCCCAGAATAAAGGGAGAAACCCCTTATGAAACCACCAGATCTTGAGAACTTACTATCACAAGAAAGGCATGAGGGAATCCGCACCCATAATTCAATCACCTCCCACCAGGTCCCTCCCACCACGCGTGGGAACTATGGGAACTGCATTTCACCATGAGATTTGGGTGGTGACACAGTCAAACCATATCACTTGTTTAAAATATTTCTTCTCTCCCGCCAATTCAAACTTTTTCTGTATTTTCTTGATCTCTGAAAACTGTATGGTTTGTACCTCTACAAAAAAGCGAAAGAAGGAAGTCCAGTGAAATAAATCATTTCAATTCTTATATGCAAATTTAATATTTGAGTTCATGTATTGAAAAGCAGTAACAGCTTTGGGTATAGGGGTGTGGTTATAATATCTTTAGGCAGGATATAAAATTTTGTATCTTTCAATGAGGTTGATATTATTTTATCCACATTCACTCTGTAGTCCTCATTTAATAGTAAAATATATTTTCTTTAAGGAAACTTTGTTTTAGAAGTGTTAATTTATTTAACCAAGGGCAGGCCAAGGGCATAGTCAGGGCCAAGAATATAAATGTAGATATATACATAATTAAGAGTTATAAATAAAAGAAGAAAATAGTACATAAAATATCTTTTTGTTTGTACCTTGACAACAGTACATTTGTGACAACCTGGAAGGCATGTTCCAAAGTAGACTTTTCATGTTTCTTGGAATTCAATGCGAGAATAAGTTTGGCCATGCCCTAGGCAAGGTCCCTACAGCCCTGCTCCTTCTGTCTCCAGCTTAGCCCATACTGGGAGGGATGCCCCAGTTTTACTATCTCAGTCCATCTTCTTCCACATGCTGGCCATCCCCTGTCCATCCTTCAGACCCAGGGTTTCAATCATGGTAATGTGGTCTCACCTGGTGAAGAAGGTCTTGAAAAGATGCCCATGTAGGCCCAGATCACGGGTTTGGCTGTAGCCTTGGGGACTTAGAATATGGTCCAGCAGTGGGGTAAGGGATGGCACAGGCTCTAGGTAAGTATTGCTTTTTCACCGTCAGCCTGTAGTATGCTCTCTGAGGAGTGTCATGACCCAAGGAAGGCCAGAGTGAGACTTGCATAGATCAGATTAAGAACTTCCAAAATGTGTGGATTAGATGATTAAGTCCACCAGTGGCATATGTTGTTTCAAGTGCTGCTAGGATAATGGGATTTATACAAAATGAAATGTGGCTTTTCAGGGTGTCATAATCAGATGACTTTATATTCTGTGCTAATAATGCTGTTTTCGAATAAAATCTTGTGTCATTTGCCGTAGGTGGCTTTTCTTATGGTAGTTCATCCTCTGGTGACTCAGACAGGAAAAAGCCACACTTTAGCTTAGAAATTGGTGCTCAAGGTAAAGCTGAAGACAAGTCCAGAGACCGTCGGGATGCTGGAAGTTCACAGTCAGAAGACACCCCAGCAGGTACTGTTCCAGAAAAACACATGTACTTAACAAGCAAGTGCTGTTTGTTTTCATTTTGGATAATCTGAAAATCTATGTTTTCTTAAAGACAAAGCCTGCATAGAAATAGTGGGGACCCTAAAGACACTAATTTCAGAGCTGACGAGAGTGATAAATTCTGTCTTTAGAGAATTGTGGCAAATAAATTTACATTAAATTAATTATTGTCCTGATAATCTTTATTTTTAGTGCTATCTTTGTAATTAGAGTCTTTATTATTATGACATATTTCAGTGTATAAATTAATAATTTAAAATGCTTCCTGGACCCAAATATAGTGTAGGATTTCTCCATTCATATTTCTGTAATCTAGCCACCATTCATTTTCTACACTAGGATTCTCTCTCTCTTTTTTTTTTTTTTTTTTTTTGAGATGGAGTATCACTGTGTTGCTTAGGCTGAAGTGCAGTAGCTCAATCTCAGTTCTACAACCTCTGCCTCCCGGGTTCAGGAGATTCTCCTTCCTCAGCCTCCTGAGTAGCTGGGTTTACAGGTGTGTGCCACCACACCCATTTAATTTTTGTATTTTTAGTAGAGACAGGTTTTCACCATGTTGGTCAGGCTGGTCTCGAACTCCTAACCTCGTGATCTGCCCACCAAGGTCTCCCAAAGTCCCGGGATTACAGGCATGAGCCACAGCACCCGGCCAGATTCTCTGTTTAAATTACACACTCAGTTTACTAAATGGTAGCATAAAGCCGAGCTTCTAAACAGTGCATAGACTGCAGGGTTTTTTTTAAGGAAAAAATTTAAATGTCTTTAGGTGAGGCATTTAATCTCTTGTTTGACAGATCTTTCCCTGCTGACCCATTTAAACTTTCACTGTACTTGCCAGGTCTCTGCAACCGTTAGGGTTTATACTTCTACATGAGAAAGAAAGAGGTTTAGTGAAATAAATAACTTTAATTAATTTTATATGAAAATTTGGTATTTGATTCCACGTAAAAAGGCAGAAACAGCTTTGGGTGTAGGGGCGCGGTTGTAATATCTTTAGGTAGGACATAAAATTTTATCTCTTTTCCTGAGTTTGGTAATATATTATCCTCATTCATTACGCAGGGCCCATTTAATAGTGAAATAAACTTTGTTTAAAGAAACTTTGTTTTAGAAATGTTAATCTGGTTAGCTAAGGACAGGCCAAGGGCACAGTGAGGGTCAAGAATATAAATGCAGGTGTATGCATAACTAAAAGTTACCAATAAAGGAACACAATACTATGGAAAATGCGTTGCTCTCTCTACTTTGACAAAAGTACACTTATGACAACCTTGAAGGCAGAATGCAACACAGAATTTTCAGGTTTATCGGAATTGAATGCAAGACGAGTGTTGACAGTGCCCTAGCTAAGGTCCCCACAGTCATGCTGCTTCTGTCTCTGCTTATTCCCATACTGGGAGGGACATTGCAGCTTTTCTATCTCAGTCCATCTCCTTCTGCACACTGTCCATGCCTTATCAATTCCCTCAGGCTGAGGGGATCGTATTTGCAATGTCGTCTCACCTAGAGAAGAAGGTCTTAGGAAACATGACCATGCATGGCCATGTACTAGACTAGGGACTGCAGCCCTGAGCCCTAGAATATGGTCCAGAAAGGAAGACGGAGATCGCACAGGCTCTGGGCAGGGAGGCATAATCCCTTCACTCTTGGCCTGTATTCTGTGCTCTCTGAGGAGCGCTGTGACCCCCAGGAAGGCCAGAGGAACATGTGGGCAGATTAGAACAAGAATCCCTGTTGCCTGAGTGCAAGAGAGCTACTATCCAAGGCTAGTGATTGCAAATGGAGGAACTCAGATGGGTTTGATTGAAGAGTTTATACTTTTGCTGTGACTGAGTACAGCTTTGCTTCCTTCTGCTTTGTCATCACACTAAGATATTTATATATTAAGGTGCAGCTCTGAAACTACATGACATTGAAAAAGACAATGAGAAAGATGGTAAAAGAGAAAAAGAGGAAGAGTATATAGTGACAAAGCGTAGATAGAGGAGAAGAGGAGGAAAAGAGGGGAAATACTGTATGTAGGAAGAGTAGTAGTAGTAGTAATCGTGGTTGGAGGGTTAGGTAATAAAGCAATAATATATATTGGCTATATGCAATTTAAACATTGTTTTAGTCCTAAAACAAACACCTACATGCAAATTTTATAATTTCAAAATCTCTTAAAAGTTGAAGCCTTTTCCCTAATACTACATAACAGATTATTATTTTGACTCTTCTCATAATCAGAGACATTTTATTTTTAGTATTTTTAATATTTGCTTTAGAAGAGTATACTTGCTAGAAACATGGAAAATGGCAAAGAATTCCCAGAGTGGTTGCTGGGAAATGTATTTAAAAACAATCTCCTGCCACTTCTGAAAACCTGTCCTGACAGGCATCTTGCTACAAAGACTGCAGGCACACAGAAATCTTTCTCTTTTATAAAACAAGCAGTTAAACCCCATTACGTATAAGATGTGAAGATAAGCAATAACTAGTTATTGAGTGGACTCGACAGCACCATTAGCCACAGAGTTCATCCTACATTAAATGGTAGTTGGGTTAGCCACCTGTGTTTGCTGATTGCTTATAAAAGAAAAAATAAGTTTCTTGTATATTATTACTGGAGATAGCTTTGTAATTTGTAGCCGAGAACCAGCTGAAGTTAGGTCCCTACGTCCTAAGAGTTTAGGAGATAAAGAACCATCATCCTTCATGACTACATTTCAAAGTGTTGGCCCCCAGCCCCTTGAAGAAACATTTTTGGGGTGCTTATTTAGTCTTTAGAAAGATCTATACACATTTCACAGAACTAGAGAAAGTACTCGTAAGTTTTCTGCAAGGAATGATCAAAGAAAAAGTATTTGTGGAGGGAGAAGTCTCTTTCCTTATTTCAATAGGGAGAATTAAATCACTTTATTTGTATTTGTGCTTACATAGTCTTCAAGTATTACCTACAAATAATTCACTTCATTTTTTTATTTGATGAACAAAATGTATGTCTTCAACAACTCTACAGGAATATCGCAGTCACTAAGATGTTATTAAATATGAAGTATTTACATTTTATGTAGAGATTTCAAAAAATATGCAAATGGCATAATAGAAAGCATATACACTTTGTGTAGCAAAATATTTATTACCTTAAGAAGTGGTTTTTGCTGGTGACTGCATTTATTAAATAAATACTGAATGCCCTCTATCATTGAGTCAGGTCTGGATACCTGAAATCCCTCGCTCAACAGAATAGGCAAAGAAACCTTGAGTTTATGGAGCTTAAAATGTAGAAGGATACAGTCAATACTTGATAAACAATATAGACAGCGACAAAAGGTGTATCACAAGGTGATATATTTTACCTTGAATATTACAAGGTGATAAAGTCTGGGATAAAATAGAGTAATAGAATGGCAATTGGAAGTGTATCAGTGGAGTGGGATTGCAATTTTAAATTGTCAGAGCGTGCCTCATTGAGATGAAACTTAAGGAGGTGAATGCTACAATTAATTCATGAGTCAATGCTTACATGCTTTTTTCCCTGCAGAAATATGTAAAAGACAATCAGGCATGTTATCTTAATTTTATCAGCTATAAGGAACTGTAGCCAAGGACCATGTGGATTTAACATGGCAGAAAAGTTTGATTGTGGGGAAGTGCAATGCCGGAACTTGGGGCTGAAAAATGGGGAAGAAAGCATACTGGGGAGCTTCGGCTCTGTTCAGGAGAAGAGTCTCTAGTACACATCAATTACTGAATCTTCATAGCTCGATTCTCTTCTTTTTCTTGAAGTTTCAGAACCATGACCAAAAACTACAGATAAGGTGATCAAGTCAACCAGGGGTGGATGTTGTTCCAAATGTTGTCAGGATAATGAGACTTACACAAAACAAAATGTGGCTATTTGTAGTATCATAATTAGACTAACATAGCTATATTATTGTTTAATTACCTAACCCTCCAAGTACTCTTACCTTTTTAGTCTTTTTTTAGTCTGTGCTAGCAATGTTATTTTCAAATAAACGTTTTCTTTCTTCACTGTAGGTGGCTTTTTTTATGGTAGTTCATCCTCTGGTGACTCAGACAGAAAAAAGCCACACTTTAGCTTTGAATTTGGTGCTTCTGGAGAGGCTGAAGACAAGTCCAGAGAACCTCGGGATGCTGAAAGTTTAAGGTCGGAAGACACTCCAGCAGGTACTGTTACAGGAAAAATACCAACCTAGCAAGGAAGTGCATTTCGTTTTCATTTAGGATAATCTGATAATCTTTGGCTTGTTTGCAGCACATGTCTTTAATAGTAATAGGTACTCTAAAGGCCCTGACTCCAGGGCCAATGAGAGTGCTAAATTCTGTCTTTAGAGACAGAATCTTTTGGCAAATATGTGTCCATTAGATTAATTTTTTTCCTGATAATTGTTTTCCTGTGCACTATTCATATTTGGTACTATTATGCTAATGATGAATTATTTTTCTGACATTTTTACTGTATAAGTTAATAATTAAAAATGCTTCCTGGGCCCAAATGTAATATAGGTTCTCTTTGCTCTTTTTTCTATATCTAACCAATTGATTTTCTGTATCAGAATTCCCTATTAAAATTACATATCCAGTTTGCTGAGTGATATGATGATAAGAAAGAGTTCCTAAACAGATTGTGGCCTGCAATTTTGTTTTTTGGGGGAAAAAATTTGAATCTCTTTAGGTGAGGTGTGGCCTTGCTAGATATATATATATATATATATATATATATATATATATATATTTTTTTTTTTTTTTTTTTTTTTTTTTTGAGATGGATGAGATGGAGTCTTGCTCTGTCACCTGGCTGAAGTTCAGTGGTGGGATCTCTGCTCACTGCAACCTCCATATCCTGGGTTCAAGTGATTCTTCTGCCTCAGCCTCCCGAGTAGCTGGGACTACAGGTGTACACCACCACACCCGGCTAGTTTTTGTATTTTTAATAGAGACAGGATTTCACCATGTTGGCCAGGATGTTCTCCACCTCTTGATCTCATGATCTGCCCGCCTCGGCCTCCCAAAGTGCTGGATTACAGGCGTGAGCCACCACACCTGGCCTCAATACATTTTTTCCTACTGTTCCACTCAAACTTTTACTGTGCTTGCCTGGTCACTGAAATCCCTATAGTCTGTAATGCTACAAAATGGGAAGGAAGCAGTCCCAGTGAGGAAAATAAGTTCTATATTTTACATTAAAATGTAATAGTTTTGTCTAGGAGGTGAAAAGGCAGAAACAGCTTTGGATATAATATCTTTATGAAGGACAAAACATTTTGGACTTCCCACTCACCTGTCTTGGGACTGACAAACTCAGTAGAGCTAAGGAGTTAAGGCAGATCCTTTTACTCTTGTTTACATTAGGTGTTAGTCGTTTTCTCACTTTCTGTAGAACACAATAGAAGTTTACCATCAATGGCCTCAAAGCTTTGCCTTTCTTATGGAATTCTTTCAAATCTCATGGTAAATTGGTTGCCATCCTTACACCTGATTCTACTATGTGGAATTATATTTAGAAAGATATGGAATAAGGGAGATCAAGGAATATATCAGAAACTTAAATGTGACTCTGCTTCGAGCGGTCTATAGGAGATTAATTTCTTGTATGGTATGAATGAATACAACTTTTCTGTGGTAATGGTTGTATTTTTGTATGGTAGATGAAACCAGTTCAGCAGGTGGTACTGTTTGGTGGTACTGCTTCAAATCAAAATTAAATTGGTAGGGGTCCCTGATCAAAATGGATTAGATGTACATGCAGTAAATGGATTAGCTGACTCTGATTCTGCTGCCAGGGAAACAGGTATTCTATGTTGTTTATTAGTTTATGCTTTTGTCAAAGTAATCAATTGATTTAATTTGCAAAGCAGGAATGGTGGTGTTTTTGAGAAATACAGATTTAATGTTAAAGGAATTCATGAGAAAAATTTGTAAACTGGTTCATAAAGGATCTGTATTAATTTCAACAGAATCAGCAATTAAACACTCTAGTGAAGAGGCAAGTAGGTTTGAGGCTTTTATTGAAGGAGCTTAGAGCTGGGAAGAAGAGAGCCAGTTACTATCCCCAGTCGTTCACACTAACCTTTGGGAAAACCATTTAACTTCTCTTGTTCCCAAGTTTTGTCACCTGGAACAGGTAAATTTTGGGCTCCTGTGTTTGAATGACATCTACAATGTTTACTTTTCAAATCCCATTACTAATATTTGACCTAGTTTTCTTGAAAAACAAGGTTGGAGAAAATAAATTTACAAAAGTGTGGAAAAATAACATCTTATATTCAGAAACTAGAGCCAGTGAAGGAAGTGAGTGTGAAGAAAATATAGTAACTCTAGGTATTTTTGACTTAGAGCAATTTACCGTGAAAGACGTGGACACTGGTAGAAACAGGAAGAACAAGGAGTTCGCTGGTGTTAAATCCACGGACCTTGGTACTCATGTCAGTGAGTCAGGAATTCTGATTCAGAGACTATTAATGCAAATAGGAATAATTATTATTCTTTATTACTCCTGATAACACTTTAATTTTTCATTAGGCAGGAACATTTTGCCTTTTGATTTTGGAGTTGGTAGTGAAAAGAAGAGTGAATTGGAATTTGGCTTGGTAATTCTGGCTTGGTGAAGTTGGTGTCAGTGGTCTGCAACAAAAGCTTTGGTGGAAATGAAATAGAGAACACTAGAAATCAAGTTCCAGTGACCTATATATTACAATTCAGGTTTTTGCATCAAAATAAAGAATCATAAAATGTGTTAAAATATTCCCTTGGTGACAATGATTTTTTCTTTCTTTCTTTTATTTTTTTCAGCAGATAGCACAAACACAAGACTTGGTGCTGGCTTTAGTAGCAGTGGTGCCTCTCTGAATGTGGGATTTGGTTTGGGGACCTCTGATCAAAAGGGATTGGAAGTCGGTAGAGCTGATGGGAGTGAAACTAGAGGCAGTGGACTTGCTGGGGGTGAAACCATAGTCTTTGGATCTGATGCAGGTAGCTCAGGTATTCCAACTAAGACTCATTCCTTAACATTTTAGATTGTTTCAATTAATTAATTAGTTAAAATACTTAATATTTAACAGCTAAGAGATTAATTAAGTAATGTTAACTTTAGTAATGTTTTGATTTTTCCATTAGTTGGAACTGGTTCTTCTGGTTTGAAAGTTGGAGCAGGGAAAGGTGATGCTGCATTTAGTTTTGAAGTTTCTGATTCAAGTTCATTTGGTGACAGTGGCATTATTAGCAAAACAGTTGAAGGAGATCAAATGAGTAGTTCTGGAGGACCTATTTCCATTGATCTAGGTATTAATATCTGACTTTTTTGCATAAAAACATTTGAATCATAAAATGTTTTTAATACATCATGACATTTATTTTATATTCTACAGGTGATGCCAGTTTAAGAAGTGAGAATCAATTTGTTGGTGGTGGTTCTCGAAATTTGATATCCAATTTATGGGATTCTGGCCAAGAGGGATTTGGAATCAAGGAAACTGGAGGGAATGGAATGAGTGGCAGTGTATCTGCTGAGGCTAGATCCAAAGGTTTTGGATCTGATGCCAGTAGCTCAGGTATTTTAGCCAGTTTCTGTTCCTGAGATATACAACTGAATTCCAAATATTAATTTATTTTAAAATATTTTGATTTTTCTGTTAGTGGGAATGCTTGAGTCTCTTGAATTTGGACTTGGAGGAAAAAAAAGTTAGAGCTGGATTTGATTTTAGGTATTCTGGTTCAAGGAAATTTGGTGATAATGCCCTTAGTGAAAATGGAATAAAAGTTACTCGAGCATCTAGTTCCACTGGCTTAGGTATTGTTATTTAATGTCTTTGCATAAAAATTTGAATAATAAACTTATTGAAATGCATTCTTTGATAATCATTTTCTATCATGTAATTGGTACCAGTGCGATAAAAAAGGGATTTTTTTTTTTTTGATACATCAGAAAATTTAGGCTTTGATTCAGAGAAATTTGGTCAAAATCAAAATTTGAAAGAAATGGATTTGGTTGGAATGAGCAGAGCAGCGGTGGATCTGCTGTCAGTGGCTCAGGTGCTTTAGTCCTGGACTCCGCTCTGGTGAAATCTAAAACGATTTCAACCTGTCATTCATTATTTTATTAACATTTTATTTCGTCGCCAATGGGAAAGTCCTGGTTATTTGAATTTGGACTTGGAGAAATAAAGGTTGGAGATGAATTTAACTTTAGAGACTCTGGTTTAAATCAATCTGGTGACAATGGCAATAGTAGTAAAAATTTTGATGGAAATGGAGTAGGTAGTTCTAGAGGCTATAGTTCGAGGTGCTGATAGTTACTTTCTGTGCATGGAACAATTCGGAATCATGGTATGCATTGAAAGTAATTCTAGTGACCATATTTTGTATTCAACAGGTGGTTCAAGTGCCAGAAATGGGTTTGAATATTCTGGTGGTATCTCTGAAGATTCAGGAGTCATATTGGGGTCATCTGATCAACATGGATTTAAAGTCAGTAGAACTGGTGGGAATAGAAAGAGAAGCAGTGAACCTGCTAAGGCTGGAAACTTGAGTCCTAGATCTCATGTCAGTGACTCAGGTATCCTAACCTGGACTCTATTTCCAAGAAATTCCAATTAATTTCTTTCTTCTTTATTTCTTTTATTTACATTTTGATTTTCCATTAGGAGGAAACACTTGGTCTTCTGGTTCTGGAAGTGGTGGAGAAAGTAAGGGTGCAGATGGACTTGGTGTTGGTGCTTCTGGACGAAATGAATTTGGTGAAACTGGCCTTAGTGGTACAGGTACCTGTGATAATGGAAATAATGTTACTGGGTCTCATTCCTCTGGCATAGGCATTGAGATTTCTGATGATCAGAAAATCAGAATTCTAAGATACATCTTAAAATAACAGTAAAAATTGGAATCATTATTAATAGTAATTTAAAAAGCAAGTCTGCATTCTCTAATCTTGAAATGTGTTTAGGTCTGGTCAGGCGAATGATGAACATTTGTTGGCATAAGATGTGGAACTGGTTTCATGGCTGTGAATATATCAATGTGGAATTCTTTTTGTTGCCTTTATGCAAATTGATTTGGAGTCAGTTGAAGAGATAGTTAAACCAGCAGCTGAACTGTTGGGCGCAAACTTTGTATCCTGAATCTGGACTTGGTGAATTTAGTTTTCTTTGCAAGCCCATTGCAGAGAAGAGTAAGGCTTGCATCCATTTTTTAAAATCCTCATAAAATTTAATATCTCCACTTAATGAAAACAATCGATTGCATGGTCTTGGAATTTGCAGTACACATTGTTAAAATAGTATGTATTATTGATGCAGAAACTGATTTGATGCTGTTATCAGGGCTGGAAAATCTTGGGAACCACTAGAATAGACGACGATAGAACTGGGAGCAGTGGCTCACTTCCAGTCAAATGGAAGTTCTGGAAAGTATTCAGGAGTCATCTTTAGAATTCAACTTTAGGATTAATATCTGTTTTCTAAACACGTTAAATATAATTAGCAAGAGATATAGGGTAATGTAGTAATGATTGACCAGACACAGGATTGACTGTCAATTAATTTGTTCCAAGAAAGGACTGGTCATACAGAAATAATAATTTTACTTTTGGTTGTTCTTAATCTTTGGACATCAATTTGAAGTCAACTCTTCCATGTAACTGAGAAATTTGAAGTCATTCATTATTTATTGGCACTGATTTTGTTTAATCACAATCGGTACAAATGATTTAAAGACACCTAATTTCTGAACTCTAGACAGGCTGCCATCAGCTCAGGTATTCAAATTAGGTTTTCTTCCTGAGAAATGTATTCAGAATAATTATGTCTAATGTTTCCAGTGTGGAGTAGTTGCTGATTTGAGGAATATATATATATATATATTTGCTATTTGGATGTCAGATTTTAACTGCTTTGATTTTTCCACGTGAGATAGACTTTACTAAGTAGTGTTACTTTTGGTAGTGTATATAATGGCAGTCAATCTAGTGGCTTTGCAATGAGAAGTCTGAATGTATTTACATTAATGAAGGTGTCAGTTCATTTAGATTAGTGGTTTTCACATTACTAGTTTCTGAGTGCAGAATGTTTTGTTCAGTTGACCTCTTGAAATAGTTCCTAGGTTTCCTAAAACTAAAACAATTCAGAATGAGAAACAGTTTGGTTGACAGTGGGATAGGAGACCTAGAGCCCTGTCTACTGAATCTTGTTCTTTTACCTTTGAGAAGTTTTAAGACAAATGACCTAGAAAACAAAAATTGATTTGCTGTCAGTTAATTTAGAGGCAAGGCATTTAATTTTCTCACCCCAGCAGGTTTTTGAGTTGATTTTTTTTTTCTTCTACAGCTTTACATAGTCTTAGTCTGCTAGCATTAGCATTGCTGGACTAGGATCTATGGTCTACCCATTAGATTTTCTTTAAAAATTACTTTACCAAGTAAAATCATACACATAAAATAGCCTAATCCTTTTGTATTAAAATAGGCGTCACCGGTTCATCTGAATACAGTACGTCTGAACCACTCAGTACTCCAGGTAATTTGATTTATGCTTTTGGGTGTTTAAAAAAATACACATACATACACACAAACATGTGCTTAAAATGTTGTGATGTTCTGCTGATTATTGATTTACTAGGACTTGATATTATTGTTTCTCATATTGAGCTCTTAAGTGCTGCTTCTCTTTGGATACTAAAGTTTAGATGATGAACTAAGTATTTGAAATAATTTTATGAATAAGAGAGATTAAATCACATTTTAAGGGAATTTGAATAAAACATGTTACAACTCTTTTACTACTTTAGACATACTATTTTTTAAATTCCTTCATAAATAGATTAGGAGTTCAAACTGTTTCCACTCAGTCTGAGTAAAGGCAACTTGTAGTAAAGAGAAGAAGATAGATAAAGAGCATTTTGAAAAGATTTTATAATTCTATCAAAATAACCACTTTTGTTATTGTTGTTGTTGCTTACTTTTAGGCCTTACCCTAAGATTGAATGTAAATTTACTTGGTTACATAAAGGGTCATTAGACATAAACAATTATAATAAATGTAGTTTTAAAGTATACAGATTTTTCCCTGTGAGTGGGAGAAATACATTTTCCTCATATACAGATAACAAAATTATTAGTATTGGATAATAGACTGAATAAAATGTACCTTGGTCTTATTTGTGCCTTGGCTTCTGATAAAAATGAGCATGCAATATTTTATTTCTAAAGTGAAAAAATATTTCTGTAAGGGGGGCATCACAAATTAGTAATTGTACAGGATTCCAAATGCATAAGCTCTTAATGATTCATGAACATACTGAAAAAACATGAACTGCAGAGATAATCATGTATGTGACTTTGGCAAGTCCCAGTTCTCACAAAGTTATATCTTATATATGTTATATAATATACAGAATAAAAAATTCATTGATGGCCTTCAATACCAACTTTTAAGTTCCCATGTAGAAGTTTCAATATCTTACATATTTAGAATGAATATATGTCTTAACATTGAAATAATCTATGCATTGTGTTGAATAGAAAAAGGATCCCATATTCCAGAAGCAACTCCGAAATACTCAGAAACAAGTGCAATTATTGGTAAGTAAAATGGTTGTGATATTCATCCATATATTTATGCACAAGCCAGTACCTAATGAGGTCACAGAATCAAATTCACAAGATCTGAAACTAGTTTTATTTATTTATTAACAAGGTCTAACTGTCATCCAGGCTGGAGTGCAGTGGTGAAATCATAGCTCACTGTAAGCTCTGACTCCTGGTCTCAAGCAATCCCCCTGCCTTAGCCTCCTGAGTAGCTGAGACTGCGGGAGGGCACCACCATGACTGGATATTTCTTTTTCTTGGTAGAAGTGGAGTCTTGCTATGTTGCCTATTCAGGTCTTGAACTCCTGGCCTCAAATGATCCTCTCAACTCAGCTTTCCAAAATGCTGAAATGATGGGCATGAGCCACTGCGCCCAGTCTGAAACTAGTTTGAAAAATGTCCCCATCATCTGTCTGTTTAATCACTATATGTTTGAGTGACATCACATTTGTACCATTTTTTTGCTCCAAAAATCATGTATACACGTGCACACACACACACACACACACATATATTTATATGTAGAGAGATAAATGATATAATTCTTTACCTTCATTCACTATAAATGGGACCTCATTCAGACTTAGAAAAACCATCTCTAAAAAAAGCAAAGCAAGAAAGCATACAAACCACCACTTCCCTCCATGTATTCCTTCCCGTATTAGAGACAAGTTTTGTTTTCCTATGGGAGACAACATATTTTTAGTCTTCCTTTGTTTTAGCCAGAATGGCCAACTTATGGTACTCTAAAGAAGTACTCATGTACTAGTTTTAGTGAATCTTTGCAGTGGTGAAAGCAAGCAAGCACTGATTTATGTGACTATGAGAGTTGAACCTTTCAGTGATTTTACATGATTTTATTTCTCTTAGGACAAAAACACTTTAAAACAGATCTAGAAGATATGCTAATTGTTCTAAATAATTAAGTACATGTTTCTCTGAATATTTTGTAGGTGAAGCGTCTACCTGGAGCAAAGGAGCATATAAATCTTTCAATGGCCGCATCTTTTCCTTTGAATCTTCATGCCCGTACACTTTCTGTCGTCACTGTGTTGAATCTGGAGGAGATTTCAATATTGAGATCAAACGAAACAATGATAGTGAGATTGAAAAAATAACAGTTCTCATTGACAATAACGACATCTCTATTTTTGGTGACACTATTTTAGTTCATGGAGAAAGGTAAATACCGTAACGTTTTGGGTAAATGAGATAAAATTATTTGAAGTAACCTGAGCAAAAAAAGATAAAGGAAAAGAAAAGATAAAAAGGGAGATGGTACTTACTTACTATTTTGATGCTCATAATGATATTTATAATTGATTATTGGCCAAAAGTTTGAAAAATGTGTAAGACTTTGACATATTTGGGATTTTAAGACATTATATTTATTCCTATAACAAGATGGAAAAACAAATTTGTTGTTTGGCTATACTAAGTATCTAGATTACGAGAAAAATGTGTATTCAACAAAACTGAATATTTTTGTTGAATATTTCAGGATATTTCAGTTGTCATTTGCAAGTTTAACACTGATATAAATTTGAGATTTTATAAATTAGAAATTGAAGAGAGTAAAACTTGTAGTCCTTGATTTTTAGAGGGAACATTTCAGATTTGGAAGGGATGGCATATTGGAATACTTTCCAGGATAAGAAAATGAGGCATGATATTCTACTTGTGAACATTTCAAGTTATTTGGTCATTTTTTTTTTTTTGACACTGAACCAGTGTCATCTTGTCAATTTTTCTAAAGCGCCAAGGATCTATTAGTTGTTTTTCAGAAGTTCATCTGATATTCAAAAAAGACATTGTTTCTCCTTTTTTGAATGGATAAGAAAACTTTAATATTTACCAGCAAGAATTATAACTAAAGATACTCAATTGTTGACGTGAATTACCAGAAAACATATAATAGTATGATTCTTACCTTTTTACATATCCTTGTATTTTATACTTTTCAGTGTACAGATACCATATAACAATAAGTTGATTCACATTAAAAAATTTGGAGAATATAATGTTCTGAATAGCCGTAGAGGAATCCTGACTTTAATGTGGGACAAAAATAACAAACTCTCAGTAAGTCTGTCTGATTTTCTTGTAATACTTTCCTTTTTGTCCTTTTGTTAAGTTATAAAAATGATACATTATAAGGGAAGTAAGAGCTATGGTTTATTGAGAAATCTCTATGTATTCATCATTATACTAAGAATTATCTCCTTTAATATTCAAACATATCTTAAAGTAATTTCTATTACTAATCACATTTTATAGATGTTGAAGCTCAGAAAATACAGAGTAAGAAAACTTAGTAGGTTGGTGCAAAAGTAATTGTGGTTTTGACCATTACTTTTAAATGGCAAATACTGCAATTACTTTTGCACCAAATAATCTTTTCGAAGACATGTAGTAAATGGTAGAGTCAGGACCTATTTCAAATTACAGAGCCAGGTCCTTAAGAAAAAGACCTTTAAAACCCCTAAGTAACTAGCCTATGTATAATTGAATTTGAGGAAGCACAGCCGTGGTTTGAGTTCATTTTAAGATATGTTTAATATTTCATGAACACATACACGTAATTTTTTTTTAAAGCTAACTCTTCACAAGCAGTATCCAACTTGTGGTCTTTGTGGTAACTTCAACAGCACTCCAGGTAAGATTCCAATGTATCATGTTTAAGAACTTGCTTTCCAAAATAAAATTAAAAACAAAAATAAAAATAATCATTTGCCTTTTATAAAGAATGAGAACTTGTTAAAATAAAAAAATTTACATTGCCAAGTCTATATGTAGCTTGAAAATAATGCACACATAAAAAGAATAACTTAAATAAATATTTCTTTTTAAGGGCAAGATATTAATGAGCATATTGCCAATAGTAAAATTCCTGGTGATTGTCCCAATGCTGTTGGTAAAAGCTATGAAGTTTGTGAAGATGGAATACAGGCAAGAAACTTATATTTCCTTGTGTGGCAAATTCTAGCAGCAGTAGTTCCCTTTCATTGTTTACATCTATGGTACACAACACGTATACATGTTTGTCTGGCATGTGTTTGTCTGGCATCTTTTAACTTTTTGATAGTAGCCATTCTCACAGGTGTGAGGTGATAGCTCTTGGTGGTTTTGATCTCCATTTCCCTGATGATTAATGATCCTGAGCACCTTTCATATTCCTGTTGGACATTTGTGTGTCTTCTTTTGAAAAATGTGTGTTTAAGTGTTTTGCCTATTTTTAAATTTTTTTTCTTTTCTTTCTTTTTTTTTTTTTTTACTTTTTAGATGATTTTATTTTATGTGCAAATAATGAACAGATGTTTTACCCATAAATTCTACTTTCCAAAAACAGGAGCTTTTTAAAGAAAACCATGTAACTTTTAAAAGGCATTGAGATTCCTCTGCTTCTAGATCATTGGTAGGCTAGAAAAATAAAGTTTGTTCTACCAGGAATCACAAGCTGGTACTGAGTATTCTCCAAAGTGCAAATTCTAGAGTATAGCGTCACTCCAGGCAAAGATTATTCAGTTCTCATCCCCAACATCCAAAACTACCTATCAGAAGGTTAAACCAGGTCAAAACAGTCCAGCATAATTAGGCTTCATCAAACAATATCATTCTGCTCTTCTGAGATGCAAATAAACCAAAACAGGAAATACTAAAATCAAAATAGTATTTGACACTGTCATACAAATTGTTATTTCCTTGTCATATCCCCCTTTCTATAACATTAATAAAGAGAATATTTTACTGCAAAGAATTATATTATTTTATACATCACTAACTATGAATTTTTGCCATTACTTATTATACAAAGGCTGCCCTGTGCCATTATCCAAATGAAATAAGCATTTTACATCCACATTTCACTTCTATAGTTATAAGCAGAATTTTCTTGATTTACATAAGTACATCTGTCAGTGAAGATTTAACACTGAAATGCAGTGTAACATCAGTAATGTCTGATGTTTTATAGATGGCAATGTAGAAAAGATACATTTTAATCACTTTTCACTTAAGTGACCTTATGTAAAAAATAAACTAATAATTTAGCAGTTCCAAGTGTCCAAAGGACATTTTCAAATGCACATAAAAGAAATGGTTTCAGAGATTTTTAAGAAGCGTCTTCCATATCCACATCCTCTTGCAACTGCTTACCATTTTCTCTTCCAAATGCTTCCCTTTGCCTGCTAAAGGGGCTCGAATAAGATGGATATTTTGCTTGACTTCTTTGATATCCTGAACTTTCTGTAGCTCTTTATTTTTCTTCAGTCTGTTCATTATAAATTTAGCTTGGCATTTCTGTTTGATCTCTTCAACTCTATTCATTGCATCAATAGTTTTATTCCATAGCTCTCGCTGGTATTTGATAGGTTCATTTCTATGCTTTTCAAATTCAGATGAGTTATCCACTGTAAGCTCTTTACCAGCTGCTTTCCGGAATGCTTTGGTCCACCTAAGTTTGCGAGGATTGCGCTTCTTTTTAAAGTTTTTATGACATTTAGATTTACAAAATCTGAACACCTTGCAATCATTGCGTATGAACATCATGCCGTGGCCAGGGTAGATGGGCCCGGAACAGAAATAACACTTGTCGATACGCACGTTGAACCCGCGTGGGTCCCCACTGACGAAACGCCAAGCTTCGGAGGAAGTGAGCTTAATTGGTTTTTTTTCTTTTTCCACTTTTGAGTTTTATATGATCTTTATAAATTTTGGATATTATCCCCCAATCAGATTAAGATACATGGTTTGCGATTTTCCCCCAATTTTCAGGCTACCCTTTAATTTTGTTAATCATTTCATTGCTATGTAGAAGTACTGTTTGATGGAGTCCCACTTGTTTATTTTTGCTTTTGTGGCCTGAGCTTTTGGTGTGATATCCAAAACATCACTGCCAAGGCCAATATCCAAGACCTTTTCCTCTATATTCCTTTTGACATTTTATATTTTCTGGTCTTAAATTTAGGTCTTCGATTAATTTTGAATTGATTTTCATGTATAGTATGATATATGACTTTAATTTTATTCTTTTGCATATGGAAAACCAGTTTTTCCAGCACCATTTAGTAAAGAACACATCCTTTCTCCCATTGCATCTTCTTGGTGCCTTTGTCAAAAATAATTGACAGTGTATGTTTGGATTTATTTCTGGGCTCTATTCTGTTCACTGGTCTATGTGTCTGTATTTATGCCATTATTCTGCTGTTTTTATTACGCTGGCTTTGTAGCCCTTGGTTCCAATTTAAGCCTTCGGTTCCATATTCTTCTGAGCACTCATATTTTCTTCTTAGAATTCTGCAACTACTTCCTCTCCAATATTCCTATATTTTTCAGCTTTAGTTTAGTGGTACATGCCAAAATAACTCCCCCCCCAAACATTATGATATTTACCATATATTAATGTAATGATTACAGTTTCCTTTGCACAGTGTTTTAGTTTGTCTGTATGTAAACTGACATGCTTCACCTTTCCACTATCATCTCTTAATGGATACCGACTTGATTCCTTTCTTACAGTTTGAAATCCATGTACTATGTCCCACTCCCTTACTTGTGCCCCAAATGTCCAGTCTGAATGGTTATTCCTCATATCTTTGGCTTTCTTTTTGAGAAAGTTATGAGTAATATTTTTGACAACAACATTTACAAGTAGTTATCTTTTACTCTGTGAATTTTCTGCTGTGATGTAATTCTATTATGTTGATTTTCATAGATTGCATCCATTTGGTGACTTAATGAATGTTCACTCATCCCTATTTCAATTAGAATAGAATTCTCAAGATCAAGAGATGTGTGAATAGTATTGATAAAAGATTTTTTTTTTTTTTTACTGAAAGATGGTGTTGCAATCATAGCCATCCTGTCATCTTCAAGCAAAGCAAATTACACCATGGCATTATACAAGATCATCTATCATCTTCATTGTGAAATCTTCCTTGATCTTTGTGGTTGGAATTGGTTTCTCTTTCTTTTGTTATCTTATGGCTCTCATTGGTACTGATAACGAGATACCATCTATAAAATTTGCCCAAGTTTTTCTCATGTGCTCCCTATAAAATTAGGAGTCTCATGATAAAGATTGTGTTGTAGTAGTCGCATAATAATGTTGAAAACATTCCTTGTTGCTCAAAAGCATTAAATGATTACATAAATTTATATTCAAAACAATGCATATTTACTAAGGACCAACTTATGTACAAGATATTGTGTTAAGTCTACAGCATAAAAAAATCAATCATATTTCTTGCTCTAGAGAAATCTAATCTAGTGAGAAAATGTACAAAAATAATAGATGAAAAAATAATATTTGAAGATTTTTATTTCACTTAATTTAATACCTCACTTGGAGAATGTTATCAACCTGCCTCCAGCCTACTTGATACAAATTATACATTTGTTCAACAGTAGATTTTGTTTCTCTAAAAACAAATCGTTAAAATAGAAAACGGCTGTATGGTGGTTGAACTATGTTTAAATTTGAACTTTTTTTTTCATTCAATAATATATGTCTCTACTTCCTTTACTGAAACAGAACAAATATGTTGTTTCCAGAGCAAATACACAGGACTCTGACTAAGAAAGGACAGAGTCAATTTATTTTATGGTCATCTATTTGATCATAAAATATAAGCAGGTTAACAGTTAAAATGACAATATCCCTTCTGCCTATTATGGTATTCCATCAGGTACGATCCCAATCTTAGGCATTAATCAGTCTCTCTTCTTCTCAACCCTTCCATTTTCTCTAGTTCTAAAATTCATGTCACCTTTAAAGACAGTTTGGATAAGTTCAAGTACAATAATTTTTGAAGTCATTACATAGCAATCCAAAATGCCAAGTATCCAGAAGTATTCTTTTAGGAGTCACTTTACCAGATATAATATTTCAAATGCCTCCATTTCAACCAATGCCATTATACAACAATCCAAAATGCCAAGAATCCAACAGTATTCATTTAGGAGTCATTTTACCAAATGTAATACTTCAAAAATCTCTATTTCAAACAACATCCAAGAACTCTTTGTCAAAACTACAGGATATGATGCAAAAAAAGAAGCAAAAAAAAAAGCCTTCTGTAATTATCCTTTAAAAATTCACTTTTATTGTCTATTTTTCTTATTTTTATTGCCTATTTTAATAAAATATGCTTTATTTTGTAGTACTGTAACAAAATTATTGGAACCTACTTTGAGAAATGTGGAAAGGTTGCTGCTCTATCCAATGACTACAAAATGATCTGCATTGATGAATACTGTCAAACTAGAGACAAAACATCTACATGTGACACGTATTCAGAACTGTCCCGCCTCTGTGCCTCAGATGGTCCTGGCACCTTTGAATCCTGGAGAAGCGATTCTGATGTGGCTTGTGGTAGGTTTTTACCTCCATTGTAGGCTACATCTCTGTAAGTTTCTACAGTACTTTAAAGTTAAGCTGTATTGCAAAGAAATCTCCAATGATTCTAAGTCCTGGAAGGAAATTTTAGAGAGGGTGAAGATTTTTTTGTTTTTTTGTTTTTTTTGTGACAGTCTTGGTTCTGTTGCCAGGTGCCAGGCTGGAGTGCAGTGGCGTGATCTTGGCTCACTGCAACTTCCGCCTCCTGGGTTCAAGCAATTCTCCAGCCTCAGCCTCCTGAATAGCTGGTACTACAGGTGCATGACACACGCCCAGCTAATTTTTGTATTTTTTTTTTAGTAGAGACAAGGTTTCATCATATTGGCCAGTATGGTCTCAATCTCTTGACCTCATGACCTGCCCATCTCGGCCTCCCGAAGTGCTGGGATTACAGGTGTGAGCCACCACGCCCAGCCAAGAGTGTCTTGTTTGTCACATGTACTTATGAGGAAAGGTTCATTTAGGTGACATGACTCACTTCAAGTTGCGGTTCTTTGTGTTAAGATCTTAATTTAAAGCATTGTACTCATTATAATCAATAAAAGTCATGGAAGACCAAGAGTAAATACTGTAAAAAATAACTGGACAATTGATCAAATATATACTGACTAGTACCATCATTTTCTTTCAAAAAGATTAATAAAACCTAAATGAGTTTCATACAAACATACTTTCCACATATGCTTAGGTCAATCCTCATAATACAAGTAGAATATAAATGAAATTGTAGACAACATGTATTTCCTTCAAATTAAATATTGTATCATAAAATAATGCACAAAATTTGGCATAATTTAGTTGTATTGAGTATCTTTAAAGACTGACTTCTACCTTGTAAATCAGACTCAAAGAATTCCATTTGAAAAGCTCCTCCTGGCCAGGCATGGTGGGTCATGCCTGTAATCCCAGCACTTTGGGAGGCCAAGGTGGGCAGATCACGAGTTCAAGAGATTGAGACCATCCTGGCCAACATGGTGAAACCCCGTCTCTACTAAAAATACAAAAAAATTAGCTGGGCGTGGTGGCGCATGCCTGTAGTCCCAGCTACTCAGGAGGCTGAGGCAGGAGAATTGCTTGAACCCAGGAGGCGGAGGTTGCAGTGAGCCAAGGTCACGCCACTGCACTCCAGCCTGACACCTGGTGACGGAGTGAGAATCTATCTCAAAAAAAAAAGAAAAGTTCCTTCTTAGAAGAGTGTGTATTCATTATACTTTGTTTCTTCTAATATCTGTGTATACATATTTCTCTATTTCTCCAGAAACACAAAGATGTCCAGAACAGCATATCTACAAAGAATGTGGACTCTCCAATCCTGCAACTTGTTCTAATGTGGCTCCTTTTCAAGACAGTGAATGTGTGAGCGGCTGCACCTGCCCAGAAGGTAGTACACCTATGAGAGTATTTACACTAAAACAGAACAAAAGCGAAAACCAAAGTGGGACTCAACTCATGTCAGAGTGATGTCTTATTTGTAGCACAACATATCAACAATTTAACTATTTCTAATCCATCCTCATAGCAAACTGCAGAGGAGGGTTAGAGAAAATTTTCACGCTATCTCTATAGTACCCGAGGGCTCCTGTATTCCACAGAATATGCTTTAGTCCCACTTTGAGTGCAGTAGGACTGTGCACCGTATAGCAGTAACTCAGTCTCAGAAAATTGTTTTCTATTCTCTTACCAGTTCTCAAAGGGTAATTGCTTTAATAAGAAGTTACCATTTTCAGTGCATGTTACGCTTGAAAGAACTATCTCTAAGAGTGATTTCACAATGCACTGCTGGACAACTTACTGAAGTTTGAAGAATTTTGAGGTTAACCTTATACAATGTGTTCTAGATTATCTGTTGGATGACATTAGAGAGAAAGGAAAATGTGTATTAAAGGCTGAATGTCCCTGTGAATCCAACGGAAAAGTGTATCAGGCAGGAGAAGTCCGAGAAGGTCCCTGTGGTTCTCAGTGGTATGTGTGTGCTTTTTGTTCATGTATTATTGATGGTGAAATAATACCAATATTTTTATCTAATTTGAAAAAATTCCTAAATGCTCCCTTAAAATAAACTTTTAAGAAATGAAAAGCAATCTCACTGCATTTTCTGTGTTGTTGATGTTTTGTTTTTAGAAAGGCACAGTGTGTTTTTTTATTATTAACTATGGATTTTTCTGTGTACCTTTAAAAGATCATGTTCACTAACAGGAACAGTGTTTTAAATAGTAAATCACTTGGTAGTTGCAAATATAGAGGCAAAGTACAGTGTAATATTTTGGTAATATAATAAAATAATAATGCTCATTATGCCAAGAATATTTAATAAAATATACAGTTAGAAAGAGCTGAATACTTTCCAAATAATTTTTATATGTGGCTAGACGGTGAAGATAAATAATATATATATATTCAGCAGTAAATTTTAATGTACCAAAGTTATTGTAGATTGTTTCATGATTAAGTGAATACTCAGCTTGAGTCTTCCTTCTGAGTTCTGCAACAATAAAATGATCATTGAGATTTCCCCATTCTTCATGATGGCTTTTCTCTGAAACTCTAAATTTCTGCAATACTACAAAATACTTTTCTAGAAATGTATTGTGTCTTCGTGGGGACATAATTTGGTTCAATAAAAAAACCAATTTTCTCTATAAATGGAAAATGTTTTATTTCGGTTATAATAATATTAATTTATATATAGTTTAATATAGTTTAATATAGTATTAATAATTAAGTTTAATTTGTATTAAGAATTAGAAATAACAGTAGTTAAAATTTATTGAATGTCTATAACAGTACTGCTCAAGAGAAATATAATGTGGGCTGCAAAAATGATCTACATATATCATTCAACATTTTTTACTTGACACATTTTTAAAAGACAAGAAACAAGTGAAATTAGTTTTAGTCGTGTGTTTTATATAATGCAATATATTTAGAATACTATCTTTTGAACATAAAGTTAATATGAAATCAAGTTAATGAGAGATTTTACAATTTTTTTCTCATAAATCTTCAAAATCTGTGTGTATTTTACATTTATAGTGGATCTCAATTTAGACGAGACACATTTCAAAAGCTCACTCTGTGTCTCTGTACCGTATTGTGTGGTACATGTCTACAATGTGGCTTGTAGCAGGTATTTTAATATTGATAATGAGCTGTGCTCCATTTAAACAAATCTCTAAAATCCAGCTTATAAGTTTTATATGCTTAATTCATGAGAAGTTATTATTTAGTCAAGGCTTCTGAAACATCAGGATACCACTATCAATGAAACAGTTTATCAGTGCTGAGATGTTGGGTGGGAAATAAAGATGGTCTAATAAAGCTTAACCAAATGTCTTAACTTGTTATGAACTTTTAGTGTGATATTTTATTTTCACCACAGAGAAAACACAACTGATAACCCTTAATATAACCATTACATTTTAACAGCACATGCCAAGATGCAAAGTGGTCTTGCACGGAAGCATTATGCCCTGGAAGATGTAAGGTGGAAGGAAGTTCCTTTACCACCTTTGATGGTGTTAAGTACAACCATCCTGGAAACTGCCACTTCCTGGCCATTCACGTATGTAATAGCCTGCAATATTTGAGGAAACTATATACAAACAAAAGTATTTCTCAACCAATTTAAAACACAGTCTTCACCTTGAGTTACTATTTAAAGAAATAGGTCAGGTGTGGTGGCTCAGGCCTGTAATCCCAGCTTTTTGAGAGGCTGAGGCAGGCGGATCACGAGGTCAGGAGGTTGAGACCATCCGGCCAACATGGTGAATCCCCCAATACAAAAAAATTAGCTAGGTGTGGTGGTGCATGCCGTAATCCCAGCTACTTGGAGGGCTGAGGCAGGAGAATCACTTCAACCAGGGAGTCAGAAGTTGCAATGATCCGAGAATGCGCAGTTGCACTCCAGCCTGGTGACAGAGGGAGACTCCGTCTCAAAAAAAAAAAAAAAAATAAAAAAAGAAAAGAAAATAAATAAATAAATGAACAATACTTCAATTACTGGTTATGTATTTCAGTACATTTTCTATCACATACTGGCACTGATGGTATTACCTGTGAGTACTACCTCTTTGGAAATTCCTTGCAAAAAAAACACAACAAATAATTGCCTATAATCATCTAAATACACTGGGAAATTATTTCATTCTACTTTCCTTTGTGTGTGTTGACTACTGCTTCAAATAAAACAATCTTTTACATTCCATGAAGAATCTTCCTCTTTCATTATTATTCTCTTAAGTTTATTGTTAGTTTTTATAACACAATAGTACCACTATGATAGAGGCTATTCTTATATTTAAATTCTTTTCAGTACCAAAATTTGAATTTGAATTTTGATAAAGAGTGATTCCATTTTGTAGTTTGTGCTTCTCTTCTTCTTCTTCCTTCTTCCTTCTTCTTCCTTCTTCTTCTTCCTTCTTTCTTTCTTTCCTTCTTCTTTCTTCCTTCTTCTTCCTTCTTCCTTCTTCTTCTTCTTCCTTCTTTCTTTCTTTCCTTCTTCCTTCTTCTTTCTTTCTTTCTTTCCTTCTTCCTTCTTCTTCCTTCTTCTTTCTTCCTCCCTCTCCCTCTCCCTCTCCCTCTCCCTCTCCCTCTCCCTCTCCCTTCCCTCTCCCTCTCCCTCTCCCTCTCCCTCTCCCTCTCCCCTCTCCCTCTCCCTCTCCCTCTCCCCTCTCCCTCTCCCTCTCCCTCTCTCCCTCTCCCTCTCCCTCTCCCTCTCCCTCTCCCTCTCCCTCTCCCTCTCCCTCTCCCTCTCCCTCTCCCTCTCCCTCTCCCTCTCCCTCTCCCTCTCCCTCTCCATCTCCCTCTCCCTCTCCCTCTCCCTCTCCCTCCTCCCTCTCCCTCTCCCTCTCCCTCTCCCTCTCCCTCTCCCTCTCCCTCTCCCTCTCCCTCTCCCTCTCCCTCTCCCTCTCCCTCTCCCTCTCCCCTCTCCCTCTCCCTCTCTTCTCCTTCTCCTTCTTTTCTTCTTTTTCTTTGAGATGCACTTTCACTGTTTTCTCCCAGGCTGGAATGCAATAGCGTGATCTCGGCTCACTGCAACCTCTGCCTCACTGGTTCAAGTTCAAGGGATTCTCCTGCCTCAGCCTTCTGAATAGCTGTGATTACAGGTGCCCACCACCACACCCAGCTAAATTTTATATTTTTAGTAGAGACCCAGTTTCACTATGTTGGCCAGGCTGGTCTTGAACTTCTGACCTCAGGTGATCTACCCACCTCTGCCTCCCAAAATGCTGGGATTACAGGCATGAGCCACCATGCCCAGCCTGTCTTTCTTTCTTTTTATGCTCCTCTAAATCCATTAGGATACAGGATGGGGAAAGTAAAAGGGAAAAATGACAAAGCTTAGGGAACATTTGCTTCTTGTAGATTACAGATTTCCAGACATTGAAATGAGAACTGAAAGTCCATGTTTGATATAATTTATATTACAGTTTTACAAATTAAATACCTCTCACATAAGATTTAAAAGGACATGTGAACCATCCAGAGAAGCAGCAAACTATGTTACTGCTGATTCCTAAGAATCCTTATGTGGCAGCACATTCCCTTTGGGGAGACAAAAAGTAAAGATAAAATTAAAAAATGAAGACTATGAAAATCCATCAATGGTAGACTACATGGATATAGTTTATGCAAGATACTTGGACCATCTATAAAGCTCTTGGCCAGTCCTGATGCTGTACTATGGGCCAAACTAGGTTTCTATTCTCAGAGCACTCAGATTGTAGTAGGGATTGTACATATTTAAAATTCAAACATGCATTGTGAATGAATTATGTAGAAGCATATCATAAATAGCATTAAATTAAATTCTAATAAACATTTTAATGAAATGCATTTTTTACAGAATGAAGATTGGTCTATTAGTGTTGAGCTCCGTCCATGCCCAAGTGGTCAGACAGGAACGTGCTTAAATAGTGTTACACTTCTCTTGAATTCTGTAAGTAATCAGGTTTCTAAGGTTTATACAGAGTCAAATCATATCACTTATTTTACAAATTCAGGATTTTTGAGGTTGAAGAAGAGTACCTTAGGTACACTAGGTACACTAAAAGCTTAAGTAAAATTGCATAGAGAATTGATAAAGTCTCTGGAGGAGCTGGCTAGTTGCAAAGTTTCTGAAGTATATCAAAATTACCATAGAGAAACAATTAATATGTTCATTATAGATCAAATTTATGTGTTCATTAAACTTTGCAGACCATTCATGAAGGAAGGCAATGGCATTTATTTAGAGTTTTCTTTATTTGAAATTGACATTATAAAGGGAAATAGACTTAAATGGGAAGGAAGGACAAGTAGTTTAGACTTTGGCCTTTACAAGCTGTTTAACCTTTGGATACTCAAATTACCATCTTGGGTTTCCATGTCTGCATTCACACACTGGGGATGAAGATTTCTTTACAGTCTGCTACACAGAGTTGGTATGAGAAACAATGAAGCAAAATGTGCCTTTAAAATGCTTTAAAAATCTCTGTATTTTAGATATTTATAAATTAATCCAATAGCATTAAACACATCATAAAATTGGGGTTCATATATTACATTAAAATTAATACTGTAAATGAATATTAACCAACAAAGTGTTTTAAATATTAGTCTGTTCCAGTTGACAAATACATATTCAACAGTGATGGAACAGTCACAAATGACAAGATTAGGAACCAAGGTTATTACTATTCAGGTAAGTTAATAACAACATTTAAAAATAAGTGTAAGATGCAGTCATTTATTTAATTTTTAAAGATATGTTTCTAATTTTTAACAGATATCAAAATATTAAACTATTTTAAGAAAGTAGAAACTATTGAACACATTGTTATTAATGTTCATAATTATTTTAACAGATAAAATACAGATCTTCAATGCATCTTCCTCATACCTTCAAGTAGAAACATACTTTCATGTAAAACTACAAATACAAATTGTTCCTGTGATGCAATTATATGTTTCTATGCCACCCAACGAATTCACAGACAGTGTGGGTAAGTTCTCTGGATACAGTTTTATTTCTAAGGCTGAAATATTACCATCAGTTATTCTAATTTTCATTGTCTCTTAATTAGTAACACTAAACCAGTAAACCATTTTGACTTAGTCTGTCCTTCCACATTATAGTGAAATAATTCCAACTTTCTTTTCATAATAAAGATGGCTTTACTTAATCCAAAATTGATCCTCCAAATATTTTAACAATTTAAATAGTTTAAACATCTTAAATTAAGACTGTCATTTAAGTGAAATTTGATAATATATGTGTTAATGTTTTACTTTGCTAGTGCTACTAAGGCTTTTACCTGTAGTTGAATAAATGAAAATACTGTAGATATAAATCTTTGGAAAATCACAGTTCATATAAGAGCTACACTATTACTTGTCTTTCTGGGAAATTATATGGTCATTTCTTTCACTGATGTTTTCTGTCTTAGAAATCAGTTCCTAACTACAGCCGTGGATGTTGAGCAAAACAAAGATTATGGAAAATTCCACAAAGAGTATTAATTTATAAACAGTATAAGTTTTTGTAATACACATTTACTTGAGAAGGTAACTTATTTACACAAAGGAAAAAATGTAACTCATAGGATCAGGAGGGTCCAGGTAAAAAAGGCATATAGCATTCAACATGATTAGACTCTCCACACTGAAATCGTGCAAATGTGAGTCATAAGTTCTTACTTGTAAGCATTCTTTCTGTTGGGTCCTCAAAAGAGATAAAGTTACAGTGACAAACAGGAAAAACACAGTATTCATGGCAAAGGGTGTTTCAGTGCTCCTGGAATTCAAATGAAAGGGAATTTCAGTGAAATCTGAAATGCCTCGAAATTTTATTTAATGTGTAAAGGCTAATCAAGACATATTCTCAGATAGCTTCTACAGGTTTTCACTTGAGCAAAGAACTGAATGTGCAGTGAGGATGTGAATCCAAAGATACTGAGCAGGTGAGATGTGAAACTCTGTTTTGTGCTCTTATACAGGACTCTGTGGTTCCTATAACAACAAAGCAGAGGATGATTTCATGTCAAGTCAGAATATATTGGAGAAGACATCTCAGGCATTTGCTAATTCTTGGGAAATGATGTCCTGTCCTAAAGGAAACCCCTCTTCATGTATCAGTATAGAAAAAGGTAATATAAATTAACTATCAAATCTGCATTACATATTTGGTGCTAGGAAGTATGTGTTTATTCTGGTAATAATATGAACACATCAGATAATCCTGGTTTTAGCCAGTGTTTGCTGTACAGTCTGGATTTTAGAGGACACAGCAGAGAAGCAGTCTGGCTGGCTGATGTTAGTTCTACAAAATGAATATTTCACAGGGAGTTCATCATGGTTGCTTCTTTTTCTATACCTACCCTTTTCCTTCTTACACAATTTTTACCAGAATTATAGAATAACAAGATTCGAAGAGATTTGGGGAATATTTAGTTCTTCAGTTGTTCCCTCCTTTAATTTAGTTGTAAAAATGTTGGTTAAAATAGCAAGACTCGCTGAAACTGGTGAAGCCGCTTGATGTTAGAGATATAACTAGGTTCAGATATCCTAACTATTGATGTCCAAGCCCCAATATAGACATTAATTAAACTTTACACTGGTATGATTCAGCTTACTTTTATACTTACCAAAAGGCTTTTAAAATATTAGTTCAATTTATTTCTACCAAAACTCATGAACAGCATGAGCAGGACTATTATCCCCATTAACGTAGATATTGATAATGGAGCACAGGGAGGGTTAAGAAGGATCCTTAGTGAATAAGGATGACAGCTGAGCAATCCAAGGATTTTGAATCCAAGTCATGCTTTGGTTTTACCCCTGGTATTGCTGATACTAATAAATGCTTTATTTTGGATTGCTGCTTTCATAAAAAATGAGTGCAATGGAAGCTAAGTTAAAATGTATTATATTGACATGTTAGTTAGTTGTTTCTAAATTAATACATATTTGAAATAGTCTTATCAGATTATAATAATATTTTAACATTACTAAGGCAATTCATTTTAAATCCTTGTCTACTAATTTTGATTTAAAAGAACTGGTAGAAGCATGAACGTAAACATCGTAATACATATTTCAGGGTTTTGATTATCACATTATTTTGGCTTTGGAGTTTTGCAGTGAAAACAGTTATAATGAGAATATATATCTCACAAGAAACCAAGTCAATTTATGTTAAGCAGACTATATACCACCACTTTGGAGAGATATAGAAATTAAATTTAATTTTCAGTTTTATATTGAACTTAACATAAAATGCAGAAAATTAAACTGTATTTTAATAATCTGTTAGTAATATTTAGACAAAAAGTGATGATACTGGGTTGCCAATTTGTTAAAATTTTGGAAATAGTTTGTCTCAGTTTCTTTTTAATGGAGACCTTCTAAAAGTCATTAGGTCAAGCGCTTGCTACTCAGATGCTATTGTTATGATTTTAATTTTTGTTACTTTAACACTATGTTAGTTATTTATAAGCCAACTGAATATCAATTAAAAAACAAAACAAAATTAGTGTATTGGAATTACTGATACTGATTGTGATAATATATGATCTTCAGGAAAACTGATATAATCTTCTGAGTTGACAGGATGGTGTGGTCGGGGGGTGCTGTGGTTGGTTTATTTACCAACTCAACACAATTTAGCTATAAATATATATTTTAAAGTTAAAAGGCATCTAAAGATATAATATGGTCCCCTAATTCCATTTTTATGTAGAAACTGCATTTTAGAGAAGGTAAATTGATTTAATCCAAAAAAAAAAACAAAGCTAACAAAGACTTTGCCTCTTAGTGTAACATTTTTTAATTGCAGCATGCTAATTTTGCATATAGTGACAAGTTAGATGTATTACAGCAAAACACTTTAAAATTTGTTTTAATAGACAGAAGTTACAATTTTCTGTCTTTTCTTTTAATTAAAGAATTATGGCCGGGTTCAGTGGCTCACATCTGTAATCCCAACACTTTGGGAGGTTGAGGTAGGCAGATCATGAGGTCAGGAGATCAAGACAATCTTGGCTAAGGTGGTGAAACTCTGTCTCTACTAAAAATACAAAAATCAGCTGGGCGTGATGGTGCGCACCTGTAGTCCCAGCTATTCTGGAGGCTGAGGCAGGAGAACTGCTTGAACCTGGGAGGCAAAGGTTGCAGTGAGCCGAGATGGCGCCACTGCACTCCAGCCTGGGCTACAGAGTGAGACTCCGTCTCAAAAAAAGAAAGAATTATGACATTATTGAAACTAATTTTGAGTGCACTGATTTTCTTCCAGAAAAGTTTGCTGAAAGGCACTGTGGAATTCTTCTTGATTCAAGCGGGCCTTTTGCTGCCTGCCACCCAATTGTGAACCCTAAACCCTATCATGAGGTATGTGAGGCTCTAACATTAACAGCTCTTGTTGAAAAATACTTTGCAGATTTTGACAAAAGCATGTAGATATTAAATATTTTCAAATAACAGCCATTGTCAATAAAGTATAGCCTTACATAGGCATCAGATTCGATCAATTTATTCTTGTGTTAGATAAAAGTGGTGCTGGAAAGTAATCCCAAATAAGAAAAATCTTGAATAAGTCTCTCTTTTTGTCTTTTATAAATGTTTTGACAAGCAGGCTAATAATTCATTTACTATTTGAATATTTAAAAATGTTTTTGAAAGTTTCAAAGAAACTTTTTTGGGGGTAGAATGGTTAGGAACTAGATTATTATACTTAGTTTACCTGATCTTTCAAGTAATTTCATAATGCAATATAATTTGTTTATTTTCAAGGAATGCAAAAAGTACACTTGTACTTGTGAAAACAGTCAAGACTGCCTATGTACAATTTTAGGCAACTATGTGAAAGCGTGTGCTGAGAAGGAAACATACATAGTAGGATGGAGAACTGGCCTGTGTGGTAAGCAGCAGAGAAGCTTTCTTTTTTTTTTTTTTTAATTGCATTTTAGGTTTTGGGGTACATGTGATGAACATGCAAGATTGTTGCATAGGTACACACTTAGCAGTGTGGTTTGCTGCCTTCCGTCCCCTCACCTGTATCTGTCATTTCTCCCCATGCTATCTCTTCCCACCTCCCCACCCCCACCCCTCCCCCATTTCCCCCCAACGGACCCCAGTGTGTAGTGCTCCCCTCCCTGTGTCCATGTGTTCTCATTGTTCAACACCCACTTATGAGTGAGAAATACGGTGTTTGATTTTCTGCTCTTGTGTCAGTTTGCTGAGAATGATGGTTTCCAGGTTCATCCATGTCCCTACAAAGGACGTGAACTCATCGTTTTTGATGGCTGCGTAATATTCCATGGTGTATATGTACCACATTTTCCCTATCCAGTCTATCATGGTTGGGCATTTGGGTTGGTTCCAGGTCTTTGCTATTGTAAACAGTGCTGCAATGAACATTCGTGTGCACGTGTCCTTGTAGTAGAATGATTTCTAATCCTTTGGATATATACCCAGTAATGGGATTGCTGGGTCAAATGGGATTTCTATTTTTAGGTCCTTGAGGAATCGCCACACTGTCTTCCACAATGGTTGAATTAATTTACATTCCCACCAACAGTGTAAAAGTGTTCCTATTTCTCCACATCCTCTCCAGCATCTGTTGTTTCCCGATTTTTTAATGATCGCCATTCTAATTGGTGTGAGATGGTATCTCAATGTGGTTTTGATTTGCATTTCTCTGATGACCAGTGATGATGAGCATTTTTTCATATGTTTGTTGGCCTCCTGTATGTCTTCTTTTGTAAAGTATCTGTTCATATCCTTCGCCCATTTTTGAATAGGCTTGTTTGTTTTTTTCTTGTAGATTTGCTTTAGTTCTTCGTAAATTCTGGATATCAGCCCCTTGTCAGATGGGTAGGCTGCAAAAATTTTTTCCCATTCTGTTGGTTGCCGATTCACTCTACTGACTGTTTCTTTTGCCGTGCAGAAGCTGTGGAGTTTGATTAGGTCCCATTTGTCTATTTTGGCTTTTGATGCCATTGCTTTTGGCGTTTTGGTCATGAAGTCCTTGCCTACACCTATGTCCTGAATGGTTTTGCCTAGATTT